CAGTGTGAAGGCCCAGTGTGAAGGCTCAGTGTGAAGGCCCAGTGTGAAGGCCCAGTGTGAAGGCCCAGTGTGAAGGCTCAGTGTGAAGGCTCAGTGTGAAGGCCCCAGTACTGAAAAGGAGGAGAAAGAGAAAATCAGCAGACATGAGATGAAGAAAAGGCTGCTTGCTTACTGATTTCCGAAAGGCATATTTTATTTGTGCAGCATTTGAAATTCAGATGGATTTATGCATTTTTTTAAATTTCAGAGCATTTTCATTTAAAATAAATGTAGAAGTAAGTAATATACTAATAATGCCATTATCCTATTCAAAACCAAAAATACAGAGCAGATGTAGGACATAGATACTGATGTCTTTTATATAAATACATTCTTCAAAGTGGGCTCAGATGGTGCCCAGAATCCAAATGCTGCCTCTTCTGAAAGCTCTGGGGGAGGGCAGGCCAGAGCAGGACTGGCCCAGCACCCTGGAAGGGCAGTTGAAGAAGCCACCTGACTGGCACAGACAGTGTGGGGAGGTAGAACCAATTAAAGAGGCAGGCACAGGTGAAGGAAGTTACAAACCCGTTCCATGCACTGTCAGGAGTTACGGTGTGTGCTAAGCGAAGGAGCATGCAGAAGAGAGAGAAAGGATCACCCCCTGTAGAGTGTGGAAGAGACTGGTCGGCCAGCAGGTTGGCACTGGGCCTGGCTGGCCAGACCACTTCCTGGACAAGGGCAAATAGCAGGAAATACAAACATCAAACAATGGTCAGGGGCTTCCTCAATAGGAAGAAAAGATATGAACAAAATATACATATAGGGCAAAGGACAGAGAGATGTCCAAATTTCCATAGGTAGAAATGGCATTGACCACTTTAGGTGGTCTCAGACTTGTAGGGTCCAAGGTGGACAAATACAAGCCTGTGTTACACTAGCGGGGAGGAGCCCAGTCACTTACCTTGCTTCCTGAGAAACTCTTTCCTTTGAAACTCAGCCTCTTCCAGGACAGCCTTGAAAGCTAAAGACAACATGCAAGAGAGGGAGGTGTGAAATGTGTTTGCTTCTCTCCACTCAAAGGGATTTCTTGGAATTATCTTTTGTGGACAAATGAAAATGTTCAGCGGAGCATACCATCTCCGATGAGAACCAGAGAAGACTGGTTTTTGGCTTTTCCGTCATGAATCTGCACTGTGTAGGTTCCTTCATTTTCAAAAGTAAATCGATCCATGACCATCTCAATAAGCCCTGTGGACTTGTCACACTTAATTCTGTGTGTCTGTAAGCAAGGAGGACAGAGAGGATTACACAGCAGTCTCCCTTCCAGCTGTCTCTTGGCATTTAATAGCTACACCAGCTATGACAGCTGAAGGAATCCCAACAGAGAAATACAAAATGAAATTCCATCAACTACACCTCCGAGGAACCAAGAGTCAAACAGGTGCCAGTTCCTTCCTGTGGCAAAGCCCAGGCTCTATATGGGAAGCTCCTGGTAGCACCAAGCCCCACCAGCAGCTTCCCAGCAGAAACCCTGCTCGTTACCAGAGAATGAGCACCCAACATATGCTAATCCATGGGGGGAAAGGAGCCGACAAGGTCATGAGACCCCACACAGAGAGCCACAGTGAAGTGACCCTCATACCCACCTCGCCACAGGAGCAGCCTGAACGATTCAGGACACCGAGAGGTTGTTTTCCACCTGGTGTCTCCCACAGGAAGTTGTGGGGCTGAGGACCCAGGGTGGCATTTTTCATCGTAGAGCAAAGACCCTAATCCTCCAACAGCTTTATCAAGAATAAACAAACTGACGCAAGGATGCCCCCTGGCACCTGAGCCTCTTCATAAAACCCGGCTCCAAGCCTCTGAGACAGTTTGTTGATTCTTAATCCCAGCAGGTTCACATCTCTCAGACCGCCCACATCCTTAATGCAGAGCAGACCTCTGAGTGTCACAGGAGCCCATGGACTCCTTTTGTCTGGTCAAAGCTCCACACCTCAAAGTCTGTATCTCAAAGGCGGTGAGGAGAGGCCCAGAGCACCGACTCCACACATCGGACCTCGCCCCAGCCTGGGTCTGTCCCACTCACCGCGCTGTCAGAGACTTCTCTGTCGTTAATGACCACCCGGAAGTTGGCATCGGGCGACAAGTGCTCAGCCTGGAGCCAGAAGCGAACCTGGCCCTTATCGAAAATCTCATAAGCTAATTCTGACTTCAGAGGAACCGCTGTGGGAAGAAAAGACATGGCAGCCAATCATGCACAGCCCTGCAGGAGAGAGCAACTGCCCTCGTGGGGAAATGTGGATCCCAGTTACTGAACTGACTGACAATGGGAACCCTGGAGTCCTGCACGGGACGATGGCAACCAAAACTGAAAAGCAGCTCCAACTGGCCTGCTGCAGTGTTTAAAGCCTCTTGCCCACAGCTCTGGGGAGCTTTCTGGCTGGGACGCACAGTGACAGATATGTCTGCCTTCCCACCCGCCATACCTCAGTAACTGAAGGTCAGGTTTGGTGGACACCGTGCTGGGGTGAGGCAAGGCCCAGCGGCTCACAGACAAGCATCCACTTCAAACCACATTACGAGGCTGAAAGCTGGCATCCCACAGGGACCTCCTCCCCACAGCAGCGCCAGGCACCTGTTCACTTACTGGGGTTCTTGATCTCGTTGCTCAGTGCCATCAAACGCGCAAGCTCTGAAATCAAGAAAAAAGGGTCTCCACTGATGCTAACCTGCACACTCAGAAGCTTGTGGACAGCAACAAGGCTGCACGGGAGCAGGGCCCGCAGCACCCAGACTCAGTGACCACCAACACTTGTGGGCATGGAGAAATCCGAAGTAAGAGTGAGAGGGCAGCGCTCGGCCTTGACCGTCCACGGGCAGCTGGCTGTGCCGAGTGCTTGTCGCCAAGGACTTGCCCAAGGGACAGCAGAGGGCAGGGCGAGCCCCACTGAGCATGGGGTGCAGCGGCAGGTGCACCCTAAAGTCTAGAACATGATAGCAGGGAGGACACAGCGAGCCACCTGGGCGGCCATCACTGTCCCTGCCACTCCCACTTCGGTGCTCAGCTGTCCTCATGGCCCAACTGCTGCGGGGTGAATGCGCCCTAAGCTCCCGTGTGGAGAGGCGGCCTGGGTTGGTACAGGGTCACAGGAGGGTACGCCAAGGGGGAAGGCCCTCGCGAGACAGAGCCTGCACTCGGACTTCCAGCCTCCAATGACCTCTGCGCATTAGGAGGGACACGTCCACATTCTGTCAGCACAGCACAAGGGCTGAGACACCCACTCTTGGCACCGCCCTGGGCCAGTCTGCCTGGCCACGACCCCTGAGCAGCCCAGCACCTTGGGGGCCAGGGCTCAGAGCTCAGAGGCCTGAAACACAAAGTCCTGGAGAGGTGACGCCACCCTCCAGGACTGAGGGGCAGGAGGACAGCTGGGCGAGAATGCTGGAGAATGCTGTCACAGCTGGGCCGTCACCTCTGGCTGGCGTGCCTGTGGACTCAGCCGCTCCTCCCTCCAGGACAGAGGTCTCATGCCCTGTGCTGCCCACCATGGAACTTGGGCCACAGCCATTAAAAGTTATTTCAAGCACGGGAAGAAAGCTGTTTGACAGCCCAAATTCTCCTCCGCAGGAGGAAGGGAGCAGCCCAGCCCGCCACCATGAATCTGTCCTGACCTCTGGACTTGTGTGCAAATGCACTGCTTCCTGAGTGCCCACGCATTAAGCAGTGTGGGAATCACCCGAATCCTGGTTTTAACAGTGACTTGGATCTGCACCCCGTGGGTCCTGGCCAGTGGGGTGTGCGTCAGAGACGCTTGTCCTGGATTGGCTTAATTTGCAAAGGCATCTGGGTTCCTATGAACAGGCCTATCCACAGCTTCCCACAAACACATATCCTTCCTGTAATCAAATGCACCTTCCCTACATGGACTTGGTCTTTGAACATGTGATAAACCAACAGAGGGCAAGCTGGCACCTCAAGGATATTACCTTCTTCATCCAAAACAAAGCTGGAGGACACACCGTCCGTGTCGCTCACAGACACGGAGTAAGTCCCCACGTCCACTTGATCCGGGTCCTTAAAGTACAGCCTCGAGCTGAAAAGGAGGAGGAGGAGCACTAGTCGCCTCCACCTGAGGAGCTGCCGGAGCCCACAGCGTCCAGCCACACAGTGACTTACTGATCGCCCTCGGTGTGCACGCGGAACCTGTCCCCGTCCGCGATCTCCTCGTAGGATTTGCACCATGTGAACTGGGAGGCGTCGGTCATCTCCTGGCAGTCGAAGCCCAGGTAGATGTTGCCCTCCTCGTCCACACCTGCGCTCATTTCCTTTGTGCCTGCAGGGCAAGAAGGCAGGAGGCCTCAGGAACACCGTGTCCCCTGATGCTTTTCTTGGACAGGAGGTGGCACGGCTGGAGGACTCATTTTACACCAGATCATCAGTTCCACCAAATGTCCTCCCACGACACTAGGAGCCACAGAAGACAGGGACACCGGGGATCCCGGAGAGGTGGAGTGGCCGGCTGGGTGCCTCGCTGCTGCCGTGTGAGCTTCCCCGTCTGCAGGCCTCCTTCCCAGCATCACAGGCCCCCCAGGGAAGAGAGGGCCCCTCGCAGGCCCCTGCCTGTCTCTCCGTGGTCCCGCATGCCCAGCACTCGGCCTCCCCCGCAGGCCCTCCCTCTTCCTCAGAGGCTGTTTTGCTCCTGCAAGGCACAGCGTGTTCACACAAGGTGGACTCATGGCTCAACCTGTGCCAGTCAGAACTCAGCTCTTGGAAACTGGGGGCCGGTGAGGGCACAGCTCGGTCTTTGCTAGGGAGTGGAAGTGACCATGTAAGATGGACGCTCTCGAGTTGCCAGGAAGAGGGCAACAGAAGGAGCAGCCTGCAGGCCAAATAAAGAGACTGTGCCCGGGGGAGGGAGGGAGTCCAGCAGAAGCGGCAGGTCGCGGCATGCGAGCCTTCACCTGCCCACCGGGCACAGGCAGCTGCCCCGAGGTCCTGTGAGCAAGAAACCACCCTCTTTCCCGAAGGATTTGCTCCACCCTGAGAGCCACCCCTGCCTACCACGCAGACGACCAACCGCCCTTCTGCCCCGGGAGCTGAGAACCATGCAGGGCTGGGGCAACTCTGTCAGGTCCTGAATCTTTAGGGCACGAGGGGATGCCCGTCCACCCCTCCAGACCACGTCTGCACCCATGTCTCACACACACCACACACATGTGTGCCTACACTAGCCGTGCACACTGCCCGAGCCCCAGCCCCGCGACCTTCAGGCACGCTCACCTGGCCTGGCCTCCACCAGCACGGGCTCCGATGCGTCCGAGGGCTTCCCCGGCCCGCTGGTGTTCACTGCCCGCACTCGGAACACATAGGTCTGACCTCGCTGCAGGTCACAGACCTGAAAGGCAGGGAGCGCAGGGCTGGGCTTTCCACGGTGACAGTTCTGCAGCAGCGCTGTCCACAAACCCCACCCCACAGCCATGGCCAGGGCCAGGCATCTCAGCCCAGCTGCGCCCCAGGGCCCGCATCACGGCAGCGGGCACCCCCGCCAGGGCACCCACGGCCATGGGCCCACGGGGCCCTGGACCATTGTCACAGCTGACGGTGACTGGATCTTGCACATGCCAAAGCAGAGATACGTGGAGAAAAGATAAAGCAGCTCGTGCACTGTGTGTGCGCACATCGCGTGTGTGCGTGTGTGTATGAGGTGTTCATAGGGCCCGGCCCGGCCGAGGTCACGGGAACTGAGTCATTTAGGGCTGGGGCTGAAGGGCAGGACATCGAACAAGACCAGCTCAAGGCACGAGCAGCCCTGGGAGAGACAGCACGTGGCCCCCGCCCCTCCGTGTCCTCTTCTGCCCGTGCTGGGCCCCCCCGGGTGTTCCGCGGCCCTGGGACAGCCTCCCCAAGAGGGCTCAGTGAGGGCCTGGATCACAAACACATTCCCACAGAAGGGCAAAGAGTGAATAATGAATCACCTTCAGGTAACGGTTTGGAGCTGTGGCCTGGTTAACAGTCTTCCATTCTCCAGCATCTACCTCCTTACAGTCCACGAAATACCCAGACACGGGGCTGCTGCCGGGGTACACAGGCGGCTTCCACAGCACCACCAGCGATGTGTCTCGGACCTCGCAGAATGTCAGGTCGTAGGCAGGCCCTGCGGGGCACCAAGAACCTGACACTGCTGTCCCGCAGGCTGCAGCCCCAACCCCTCGGGGGCCCCGGGCACCAGCTGCAGGTCCGCGTGAGTGGGGCCAGCTTGATGCTGGGGACAGCCCAGCTGAGGGCCTGCAGCCCCCGTCGGCAGGCACATGGGGACTGTGTGTGCAGTGTGGGTGCAGTGGCCAGCGGGTGGACCAGGGAGGAGGAGCCGAAAGTTGAAGGCGTCATGTTGCACCCTGGGCCGGCATCTGCTTGCTGAGACACTGCGAGCCTCCCTGAGGACTCAGGGCCCCAAGAGCAACTGGCAGTGGGGAGAGGCAGGTGCCCGGCACCCCTCGGGTCATACCACGTCCCCTGCTGCTCTGCCTCCCCATCCGGAAGCAAGCAGGCCCTGCACACTAACAGGCTCTCCCCAGGGCTGTGCCGGGGCCACAGTGACTTCATCGGAACAGGGAGAAGAGGAGGGGAAGGAGGGAAAGAAAGGAAGAGCGGAGAGAAAGGAAAGGGAGGTGAAGGGACAGGTGAGAAAGCAATGTTATCCGCACAGCAGTCTGAAGCAGTTTCCTTAGCTTCAAAGTTTAGTTTTTTCTTTTTGAAAATATGAGCACAGTGGGATGCATTTGGTTCCTGATGGATTGAGCACAAAGAAACTGACACCCAGCACCTGAGAATTTGTGCAAAGAGTTTAAACGAAGAGTCTTGAATAAACCTGGATCTGCATCTATTCTGCTTTAGAGCACTGGAGACCCCTGAGCTCTCTGCTCTGTGGAAAAGGTGGCCTGGCCACACCCTGCCACGGCGGAGGTGCGGCTGCACGTCGTCCACACAGGGGCAGTGCCACATGCTGCCACCCCCTTCCACGCCTCTCTGCCGCACACCCACCTGCCCCTGCTGTGTCCCCACAGACTGCTGCTGGTCCTACCCAGCTGCTGGCACCCCGAGTTTCTGCCTTATCTAGACAAACGTCTGCTGACTGTAAGAGACAGACCTCGCGGCCCAAGCCCGAGTCCCGCTCCTGCCCTGGCAGCCCCTCAGCTCCATGGTGGAGGCCACAGACTGGGACAGAAGCATCTCACCAGGCTCCGGAGCCGTCCAGGCCTCACACTTGAAGAGCTTGCTGGGATCCGAGGGCTGCCCGATTCCTGCCACATTGGTGGCTGTGATTTTGAACTCGTACAGGGAGCCTTCTGTCAAGCCCTCCACCTGTGTGGATCAGTCTCATTAATACAGGAGGTAAGTGGTGCCCACAGGAAGTGCTCAGGTGGTCTGGGAAGTGCCCCAAGCGTGGAGGGGCCTCAGAGGCAATTGGACCCTCTCTCTGCACGCCCGGCAAGTTCCAGCCAGGTTGGCCATGTCCCCCCATTCTTCCCATGGATGTCCTGGGGGCCAAGACCATGCTCAAGGGTGGGCAGGGAAACCAAGGCTTGCAGACGAAGCCCACAGGTGCACAGAAGAGCAGAGGTGGGGAGAGCTGACTCACAGGATCCCCATCCCAGGCTGGGCTGCCTGACATTGGGCGCCCTGCACTGTAGGGGGAGGCGCCGACTGGGCTGTCACCATCCCCAGGATGGCTGCACATCCGAGGTCCTGCCCGGCCCAGACCAGTGCAGCTGTGCAGACCTGAGGAGACCTGGGACTGATCCAGCAGCCAGTAGCATGGCCGAAGGAAGCCACGGCTGGGGAAGTGCTGTCTCTAGAGACTCCAGTCCAGAAAATGAAGAGGTGCTCTCAGCAGCAGCTGGGGCCCAGAAGAGAGCACCCAAGGCGAGCCTGGACAGTAAGTGATAACTATACCCCACGCCAGGAGTCGGGCAATTGTGTCACAAGAAGCCCATGCTGTAGCACGTGTGCATGTACAGACCAGTCTCACCAGGCAGAATGCTCAGTAAGACTGTAGATTTCTGAGCCCTTCCCAGCCCCGCACTAGCTGGTGTGGGGGGCTCCATGCAGGAAGCCCAACAGTTCAGCACACGGGTGGGGCAGAGCCTGAGACCTGGGGAAACCGAGGGCCACATGGTGGCCGGGAAGCGAGCCTGGATGTGATGCAGTTCTGTCGTGCCCCACACCTGGGTGGAGGAGACTGGAAACTTGGGGACTTCTCAGGAAAGGGTGGTCAGCACACAGGGAGGCGGTCTTCTAAGACACTCATGCTCAGGGCAACCCTGTCCTTGGGCGCCAGGCCGGCACCCAGGACAGAGGCCACAAGAGCAGCACCCACCCCGCAGGCTGGAGCCCCGCCTGAGGGACCAGGCTGGCTATCACCCAGCCATCCAACCCACTCAGTCACTGTCCTCTGTCTCCTCGCTGCTTCTCAAGAGAAAGCATTTCCAGGACTTTCCATCCCAAGCTCCATGGCCTCATGAGCTAGGCCGTTAGGTCTGTTTCTGATCAAAGGCCCTAACCTCGCTGAACTCCGAGTCACCGAGTGACACAGCAGGCCGGGGCTCACCGTCAGGATCCTGTCCTGCAGCAGCGAGGCGTTGACCTCGTGCCAGTTCTTGTGCTGTGCCTCGCGCTTGTCCACATAGTACCCCAGGATGGGCGTCCCGCCGCTGAACTTCGGCACCTTCCAGCCCAGCGTCATGGAGTGACCGTCACAGTTCAGCAGGGTGATCCCGTACGGACGGGACGGGACGGCTGCAAGGACACAGCGCAGGGTCACCTGGGCAGGCCCAGCGCCCCTCACCTGGCCAGCGGGGAACAGAGAGGCAGCCGCGGAGATGGCCCTGGGTGCCGGCTTCCGTCGCACTCACTGCCCTTCTCAGGGCATCTGCCAACAGTCCAGCGGCGGGAGGGCGTGGGGTGTGTGACCTGGGGACACCACGGATCCCCAGACCCGCAGAGAACTCCGCAAGGGGCCTCATTCTCTGTCTGCACCGCCAGAGGAGGAGCGGGGCTCCGGGACGCCGGTGTTTCCTGCTGGGTAACACAGACTCCAGGTCAACATGGAGCACCCACCCTCGCCCGGAGGAGGAATCGCCCACCCTGCTGTCCCACTCCGAGGAGGCCCTGGCAGTGTCCTCCATCGAGGAGTCTGGGATTCTCGACGAAGGCTAAGCCCAAGCCTTTGGCTTTCACTCAGGGGAATGATGGGAAGGGCAGGTAGGGAGGCGCAGAAGCCAGGCTGGGAGCAGAGAGGGCATCAGGATCAGAACCTCAAAGGAGGGCATGGCTGATCCCCGGGCATTATCAGACCTGACTGCCCTGGAACCCCAGGACATCACTGCCAGGAGGAAAAGCTCAGCTCTGAACACATCTGCAACTTTCCCTGGAGATGAAGAGAGCTGAATGTTGCTCCTGAAACGCACGCAGATAGCAGCGTTTTGAAAGCGAGTAGGATGTGGCATTTGCGCCTCAGATGTCCCTGGCGGTGCTCAGGGCCCTGCACTGGCCAACTCTCCTTGGGACTGCATCCAGACTCAGATCCTGACCCTCTTGTTTGATGAAACAATCAGCGTTAAACACATAGTCATGCATGAGGCCATCAAGTGGCAGAAGCATGTGAAACTCTCTGGTGTGATTTTCGGAAGCTCCGTGGGCTCCGAATGGCTGGAAGGACAGCGACACTGCTTTAGAGTGCATTTCGGAAAGAGACAGTCGTGCCTAGAGCACAGGTGCTCACATACGTGCAGCATTCGGAAACAAGGGCCAGCAGAGACGATGCTCTGGTTCTAATCCGCACTTCTTTGGCACACTACTGCTTCCTCCAGAAACTGGCACTTCCAGCAGAACGGCAGGTGCTCTGCACAGCCACCCCACACCCTTCCCTCCAGCTGCATCCCAGATGGCCGCACTCCTGTCCACCCAGGCAGAAACCCCGAGTCCCGAGAGCAAGGGGGGCAGGCGCCCGTGCCGCACATACTCAGGGCCGCCTGCACCTTGATGACATCGGACTCCTGTGAGTTCTCGCTGGTGCCCACGGCGTTGACAGCTTTGACCCGGAAGACGTACTGCTCGCCAGTGGTCAAGCCGTGCACCACGAACCTGAGGAAACAGGGGCTCACGTCAGGGCAGCGAGCTCCTGACGGCACTCGCCGCAGCAGGGAAATCGTTCTGAGCGCTCTGTACAGGACTCTCTTGGACTGAAACCGACTTTGCTTTCAGTGCCTCACGGAAACATCGCCCATACCCTTCTCCTCCAGTGTCAGGGACACGCGGCCCTGCCACCCAGGAAGCAACACTCACACCGAGTGTCACAGCACTTATTCTGAGTCCTGGTCACCTCTGCAGCACCAGTCTGCGGGGGACATCCACCCGCTTCCCATAGGAACTACCACATCTACCTCGCAATGGTAATAGTTACACCTCGGCTAGCACAGCCGAGACCTGGACGTCAGGTAGAGGAGGCCAGAGCCCAGCTGCATGTGTGGATCAAATGACCACACTGCATCCCATAAATTCATATAATTAAAATAATGATTTTAAAACTAGAAAAAGTTTCAAATATCAGCATAGGGGCCGGGGGTTTAGCTCGGTGGTGCTGCTGCCTAGCTCACAAGCGCAAGGTCCTGAGTTCGATCCCTGGTACAAAAAACAAAACAAAATATCAGCATGGAAAAATTCACTACTTTTTTTTGGTACCGGGGATCAAACTCGGGTCCTTGAGCTTGTGAGGCAGGCGGCGCCACTGAGCTTAATCCCGGCCCTACAACTACTGTTTTAACCTTGCTATTCACAGAGAAGTCCTGCATGCTAATTACACCGGATGTGCAGGCTGAGACTCTTCTGACGTCCTTAGGCAAATCACTGCAGCAGAGGCTGGAAGGCGAGGTGGGAAACTCGCCTCCTGGGCAGCCCTCCAGAGCCACATGCCAGAGGGCAGCTGAGCAACAGACACCCAGGGCAGTCCCACTGTCATCTCCAGCTGGGGAGCCACACAGGGCCCTGGGCTCGCCTCTGTCCGGCTCAGCGCACAACCCCGGGGGGCCGGGGAGGGCACCTGTTGTATCCAATGGGCTTGTGGTTGCATGGCTCCCACCGGTTGGTGCCTGCCACGCAGCAGTCCACGTAGTAGCCCAGTAGGTCCTCCGCGTGCTTCGGCTGGTCCCACTGTACTACCACAGACGTCTTGGTGTTCCGGGAAGCCTGCACTCGGCCGGGTGCAGAAGGGACCACTGCAGGAGTGTGGGGGAGAGGTCAGGCTGCAGGCCTGAGGCCGGGGGAACTTGGAGGATGGGCTGCACAAGCGTGGCTGGGACTTGAGGGGAACAGGGCTGCCAACTTGCTGCCTCTTCCCACCGGATTCCAGAAGAAAGGAATCCGAATCCTGAAATCCGCGTTGCCCCTGAGCCATCAGCAAGCTCCGACCTGGAGCATTTGCCTGCTAGGAAATCAAGACGCATTTGTGTCTGATTCTGGGGATCTGTGAAAGACTCATAGCAGAAAGACTGGAGCACCAGATTTCTCACCCAGGCCTCGGGTCCCTCAGCCCTCAGGGTCACCACTGTCCCCAGGGCCACCCCTCGGCCACACACCCCAGGGTCTGCTTGTTACTGTCACTGCTGAGCATGCTGGTAAGTGACCCGTGGTCACACCTGGCTGGGAGGCGTGAGGAGCCTGTGGCTCCAGCCAGGACTTTTCAGAGCTTCCGTTAGGTCGGAGCTGAGAGCTGAGGGCCTGGGCTCTGCCTGCCCAGCCCCACCGCTGTTCATTCTGACATCAGGATCCTCAGTGAGCATGGCACAAAGGAGAGGAGAGCCACTGGATGCCCCCAAAGGGGGTTCCTGACCCCAAAACTCTCACCGAAGGCTTTGGGGACTCAGGAGCCTCCCGCACATGAGGAATTCTGTGATTCGCATTTGAGACCCTCGGAGAGGGAAGCCGAAGGACATCGGGGCTGGGGCTGCACTCTGAGGCCAACCAGGCCCTCTGCAGCCTTCCTGGCCCGTTTCTCAGTTTTGTGACAAGATGGAACTTTGGTGAAATGCCAAGAACCGACAGAACACGGCGAGAGCTGGGAAACAGCACACTAAGGCCCCTGTGCCACTCACTGAGGACACTGGGGGTTCAGTGGCCCCCCTCACCCACCGCTCACCAATGCTGTCCTGCGCCTGGATGGGAGGCGTGGTCTCTGACGGGTCGCTCAGGCCGTGCTTGTTGGCTGACAGCACCCGGAACACATAGGACTTCCCATCCGCCAGGTCAAAGACAGCGAAGCGAGGGGACTTCACGCCCATCTGCGCATTGACACGCTGCCAGGTGCCACTGCCAACCACAGACTGCGGAGGAGGAGAGGGGCGATTGAGCCTGCAGGACGCAGGGAAAGGAGCACTCTGTGAGATGCTCGCACCCCCCCCCCACGCAGACAGCAGTCTTTGGGGATTTCCAAGCTGATGCCAATTTGGAGACGTCAGAAATTACCCTAGATTGGAAAAGTTACTGCTATGCATTTTCCATTGATGCACTGAACTGTAGAAACTTAAATAAATCCACAGATTGGTTACTGCCTTCCTAAGAGGGAGTGACTATAAATGATTCAGGATAACTTAACAGAGTATTTGTAAAATTCCGTATTTGCTGGTTCACACTTCAGCCGGACCTTCTGACACACTGCTGCTGCTGAGTCTCAACAAAGTGACATTATCTATGAACTGCTGAGGGACACGGGGCAGTGTGCTCATGCCTCAAAAACAGCTGGCTTCTTCAGTGAGTGTGCACAGCTCTTTCATCCAATGAGGACTGTGACATCTTGTTTCAAATAACACACTGCCAGCTGCATGTATGATGTGCCAAGTACGTAAAACCCTGTGGAGCAAGAGTGTGAACGCGTGCACCACGTGCGCATAGTGGCTATTTCGTGTAATAGAGTCATGGGTGACTTGACTTTCTTCTATGCACCTCCTCTCTTTTCTCCCCATAGTCTGTCTTGCCTGTGTAATTTTATCCCTGATAATTACCTTGGCCCCGCAGTGATGATTTTTTCTGCAGAGATAAACCCCTCTTTGAAAATAATGTTGTGGTGGTAAAATAGAGGTGCACATTGACCCTGCCAAGGTCAGCCGAACAGGAGAAACAGGGATCGCAGCCCAGGCTTCCGGGAGTCAGATTTGAGTTTAAAGGAAATGTTTTCTTTCTTTTCTGCATGGTGAAAGTCAGTTTCTAGGAAGTGTTGGTGGGACCAGGTGGCCCCAGTAACCCTTGGGTGTCCCCTGTGCCTTCCCTCAGGGCTCACATGTCCTCTCCTGTCGAGGAGGAATGGGAGGACTGCGTGATACAAAGTGCCGAGCCAGCGCTGCCGTCCTGACCACCGAAGACTGCAGAGGCCATGCCTGCACTCCCGAGCAGGTCTTAGGTGGACAGAATCAATGCCGTGAACCAGGTCCTGGGGTTCAGACCACCTCACACCTGGTCTCTGATGAGGAGGGAAACTCAGGAGCCGTGCCGGGAACAGGGGGGACCGGGCCTTGCTGGGACAGGCCACCCCAGGGCCTGCTGGAGGAGCCAGGGTTGTGTCCCCACCGCCTGTGCCCAGCTACCCACTTCTGGGCACAGAGCGCCCGGAGCCCCCACTGCTCCCTGTGCCCCACCCCACAGTGCTGCGGAGCAGTCTCCACCCCAGCAGGTGTGAGGTCCCCGACACGGGCTCGAGGTAGCAGATCGCCCCTGTCACTGGCCGCTGGTTCCCAGCATGAGCACTCAGAACTGGGAGTGGCCCTGCCCCAGCCTCCCAGTCACCCGGCCTAGTGCTCAGCAGGAAGGACACACAGTCAGCAGCCCCTGCGTGAGACAGAGCTGCCTCCCTCCACTTCCGCCCAGGGCAGGCAGCTGCATCACTGCACTTGCATCACGGGCGAACACTGAGCGCTGTGCACCACACACGTGTCAGGTGTTACAGTGCAGCGTGAGTTTAGTGTCACACCCTGTAGCTGCAGTATCTGTGGGACATTGAGGTCCTCACGGTGGCCCGCAGCCCCACGGTGGTCACCTGAGCACCGTGCCACAGCCTGCGCTTTCCATGCAGCAGGACAGACCAGCCGAGAGGGGATGTGTGCACGTGAGGCCGCGGTTTGTGAAAGTGGGCTGGTAACAAACGTGCGCGTGTGCGTGCATGTCCATGCGCACGCTGGGCTGCGCCACACAGTGCACTTGTGCTTCTTCACATGTGCCCAGGTCAGCAGAGCCCAGGCGGCAGCTCTGTCTACGCGATCAGTACGCGACCTGTCCACTTCCAGGCCCTGTGACACTCAGAGCAGGGCAGAGGGCGCAGACACCCACACTCGGGCCCTCCTCGGCCACAGAGGACCTGGAGGCTGGGCAGGTGAAGCCGGCCTGCTGCAGGCCCAACCCAACTCAGCCTTTGGGGGCTCCCTGCTTTGCCCACGTGGCCCAGCCCCGCGGTCGGCATCGCAGTGGAGGGTGGCAGCCCTCTCCCAGCCCAGCGGGGCAGCAGCCTGGGCCCGGCCGTGCACCTTACCTTCTCGATGAAGTACAGTAAGGACTCCTTGCCACGGGGTGTGGGAGGCTCCCAGCTGAGGACCACATAGGTCCTGCTGATCTCGGAGGCGTGCACGTCGGTGGGGGCACCTGGGATCTGAACGTCACCTGCAGGAGAAAGGAGGGGAGTGAATGCAGCCACCAGGCGCACCCAGCCTGGGGAGCCACCCAGCAGCAGCCTTTGCCTACCTCTCCTCAGACAGAAAACAAAAGCCAGGGTGGTTTTCCCAGAGCCAAAGCATAACAAATGCACCACTAAAGCTCATCAGATTATTTTGCCTCTGGTATAAACCAGGTCGTAAGAGTTGTACCCAAGTCTCCCAGAGTTTCTGCAGGAAGGGGAAGGATGTTCCAGAAAGGAGCAGCAATCTAACAAGGGCTGAGCTTTGTGTGGCCCAGGGCTGTGTGAGGCAGCGTTACCCAGCTGAGCCCTGCAACAGGGGGCCTCCTGTGCTTTCTCCGTGTCCCCCGCACACTGAAACATCATCAGTGTCTGAGGCACCTTGCCTTCCCCCTCGAAGGACCTGTGAGCATTTTCAGGCACTGTGCACTCAGCCTTTGTACTTGAATCTCCAGAGAGATGTGAATAAGTCCTTTGGAAATAACTGAAGGGGTATTTGCCGTCAGAGACAACAGGAAAACTTCTCTGCTCCCATGTGTCAGAGGTTTATGTCTGAGTTTACAGGACAGCCTAATGAGGGTGCAGGTTTTCCAGACCTATGGTCTCTTTCATTGTGCTACAAAATGTTACGAGCTCCCAATTAGATCAGCGCGCAATTGCAACAGTTTGCACCGTCCTGGGACACCTCCGTGCCCTTCACAGTGTCTGATTGCTCCCTCGGGCCTCAGCCATGTGGAAACAGCGCAAAACAAGATCCTGTTTCATTCTATGAGGGCTGGCACCGACCACAGTGCACGTTAGAAGGAACACAGGCTGACTGGCATCACCCAGGGGAAAGGCTGAGTTTCCAACAAGGAGCCGCCCTGTCTCCAGGACAGCGCAGGGGCAGGGTGGCAGGACAATGAGGACCTGTGCAGTGCGTCCACACCAAAACCCAGCCGGCAGGCTGAAGGGGGCACCTGAGACCCAGGCCTGGAGGGGAGAGGGAGCCAGCCAGGGGACAGGGGGCAGGGGACAGGGCCGGGGGAGCGCGGCGTCCTCCTACACAGCTTGGAGGACACCCACGCCTCCGCAACCAACACCAGGCCCAGCGTCTACCAGGGCGGCACTCGGCCAGCTAGGGCCCCAGAGGGCATCTGGAGCCGGCCCGCAGGCCATTTCCTCCTGCTCCTGTCTGTCTGGCACTCCTACAGGCTTCTGAGCCTCTGGAGCCAGAGGCTGGACAAGGCCTTCAAGCTGCCCAGTGACCTCTGAAGAACCTGAGCCCTGAGCCGTGCCTGGGACTCTACTCCCTCAGGCAGTCCTGAGCCGCAGGTCCCTGTGGAGACCCTGGGGAAGCCCCCTGGGGGAGACAACACAGCACAGGGCCGCCTCGGCCGGGCTGCCTCCGACACGGAGACCACCACCAAGTCTCCCTGGGCCCGGGCTGTCTTGGAGGAGCACTGAAGGGCTGCCCTTCTGAGGAAGAGCCAAGCCAGTCACCTCTGCCTGGCTGGCGGCCCCAGGGCGCCTGGGAATCTGACTCAGTTTCCACTCACGGACTCCATGATCTGGTCTCAACTAAAATGCTGGGATTTCTCAGTAAGAGCGCTAGATTGCCCTTAGCAAGTCTTTCCAGGTGTCTCTGGAAGGAATATCAACAGGAAGACATCTCAAAATCATAAACAGGGAAAACGGACTTTCAAACCCAGAACATCAGTGGACAAGAAAGACTAGATCCTTCCTCCTGGTTAAAATTTCAGGAATAGAAGTTTTGCTTCTGAAAGGTAAAATAGCGAGTCACGCGAGGAGGAGCCTGCATTAGCCAGCAGCCGGGTCTCAGAGTCAGTGTGCTTTCTGCTCTGGGAGGCCCCAGAAGAAGGCACTTGTGGCGACACACGGTGGTGCGTGCCTATCATGCCAGCACTCGGGCAGCTGAGGCAGGAGGATGTCCACACATTCAAGGTCAGCCTGGGCCACCTAAGGTCTCAAAGAGTGCGCCTGTGAGCCCCAGCAGGAGGACAGAGCCACTCCCCCACCCCGGGTCCTGCCCACACCATTGGCCTCCTCCCTGTCCCTCAGCAGGGCCCAACCTGCACGGGCAGAGGCCCCACCCCCAAGCCCCTGCTGCTCAGACCCTGACCAAGCCCCAGACACCCAGAGGTGGGGCGCACGCACCTTCCAGGTCGTCCTTGGAGATCACGGTCGGCTTCTCTCCCTCCAAGTGGACTGCTGCAGAGAGAGGAGATGATGGTGTGGCTGCCACCCAAAGGTCCCCAGCCCAGGGCGAGGGTGGAGAGGCTCCGCATCCCCGGGCAGTCAGAGCTGGTGTTCTGGACGTGGTCCGGGCACAGTTCAGCCCTTCTCATCCTTTCTAGTGGGCTCAGCGGACAAAGCAGGTGACTCACTTACAGCCAAACCAGGGTCCAGTTCCACTGAGGAACCAGGTTCGGTGAAATTAAAACTCAGAAATGGAGCGGTTTGTTAGGTTCCATTATGGTTGAAATCACACCACTGCTGGCTGAGCAGGGCCTGATTCTGAGCCGGTCTGGTGGACTCCAGGTGGGGAGGGCAAGTGGGGGCCTCAGCCCAGAGTCTCTGCCTCCACAGGGACCCACGGGGACAGGAGACAGGAGGACAGCACCCTGCTGTGGCACCTGAGCACCAGCCCCTACCTTGCAGCCTCCTGAGGTCCACGGGGTCCAGGGCAGCCACGGCGACGGAGACCCGGGAGGGCCGGCTGATGCCTGCGCTGTTGACAGCCCTCACGCGGAACAGATAGGACCGGCCCTCGAAGAGCCCGGTCACCGGGTACTTGCAGGTCTTCACAGGTGCGTCGTTGCACTGCACCCAGTTGTCGGTCCCCACCTCGCACCTTTGAAGGCAGAAGCAGAGGGGAGGGCAGAGTGGCGCAGGGCAGCCTGCAAGCGTCCCGGGTCACAGGTCCCCTGGTCACTGGAGCGCCCCAGCCTGGTGAGATCGGACCACACGGACAGCAGGCTGGGCAGCTTCAACACGGAGCTGCAGGAAATGCCTGCACACAGCTGAGGTACACAGGTGGGTGGTGGAATGGTGAGTTTTTATAATTTACAGCTCATATCTATGTAGAGATAGTTGGGTGGAGAGAGGGATGGACAGTTGGATAGATAGACAGACAGATAATGGACAGATGGATAGACAGGCAACCATGAGTCATAATTTACAGCTTAAAATCAATCCCTGTCTCCAAACACTGGTAGGCAAAGCCCCCCAAGAAGTCAGTTTAGACCAGCCTTCCATCAGTCTTTCTCCCACTGCCCGAAGGGCAGGGGCAGGGTCCGGGGAGCCCTGTGCCCCGAATGCTCTGCAGCCACCGTCCCTGGTGCCACCTGTGCCCGGGTGACGTGCCTCACCCGGGGATGTGTTCTCCTGGGTGCCGCCCCAGGCTGCTGAGCAGGGCTCGGCTGTTTCTTCCTATGCCGCTACTCACAGGGAATCACAAGGCCCTTTGCAAATATTAATTAAGCTTTGGAAATGTGGGAAAAGTTTACTTCCATTTTTCTTGGGTGGAGAAACTTGTGTACAAAATTTCATAATAAAGCCTCTGTAAAAAGAGCCAGTTTAGGCGAATGCAGCCTTTGGAAGCTTCAGGCTCAGCGCTGCTCTTCCAGGAGGGAGAAACCCACCGCCTTCCCCTTAGCTACTGGAGCTGCCAGTGAAAGCTGCCGACCTCTACCTGATCCAGGTCAGCCATCATCCAGGCTCACCCCTCAGACGGGATTGCAGCCAGGTCGGTACCTCCAGCGGAGGGCGAAGCAAGGCCGGGAGGCGACCAGCCCACTGCGGGATTTAGTTTGCCCTCAACAAAGGGAGAGGGTGTGGATCGACTGAGAAGCTATGTGGAACAATGTTGGCAAAATGGTTGGAAATATCATCAGATGTAGCAAGAAGATGGCCTGGATTAGTCCTTCACTTCTAATTCACGGTTAGCCCCGGATAACGCAGAGTCTGTGGCACACCAAAGCATCTCGACCGCGAGTACTGGAGTGACATAAGTAGCTTTGTTGGGGCGGGGAACTGAATTTCATCTGCCCGAGCCAAAACCCGCAGACTGATTCTCCTCTGAAATAACCAGCTTATTTTGCCATGTGACACAGGAAGAGCCCTGATTCCGACCCCAGGGCCACCCTTGGTCACCCCAGAGCTGTACACTGTCTGGTTTCTAAGGACATTTTCTTTAACTATGATCGAAATGTGCATCTGAGGCACAAATTCCACCTCTACGGAATTCTACCTGGCCCCAGGCCCTGAAGATTACACCAAATAAAGGAAAATCAGAGTTAAAACCCCATTGGCTGTAACAACGACCAACATGTAAGTAGGTCACTGACTCCAAACTAAGAGACAGTGCTTCCTGCCTTGAAGCACAGGCAGCTTTCACTTGGAAACCAGGACTGTGTGCGGAGCCACCCACTCCTGCTGCCTCCTCTGCCCACGCAGCCCAGCTCAGGCCTGACCCAGCACAGCCCGGCACAGGGCACCACGTCAGCGAAGAGAAGCCAGTGGCACCGCCCTGCCTCAGCCTCATAGGCGCCTTGGCCAACCTCCTAGCCGGGAGCGTGGCAGAGCCCGAATCACCAGGCAGGGCAGCTTCCACCTGGGCCTGGAAGTGGACCCTGAGCATCGTCCCAGCAGCGCAGACGCGGGGGTCTCTGTTGCTCACCGGTCGATGAAGTAGCCGATGACCGGGCTCTCGGTGGTCGTGTTGGGCGGCTTCCAGGTCACAATGACGTAGTCCCGGTTGGCATCGTGGCACTCCAGGTCCATGGGCGCCCCGGGAGCCCCTGTGACCAGCGGGTCGGCATCTGGGGTGAGGGACACAGCCACTGTCATTAGAGGGTGGCCCTGCTCGGCCTGCCAGGCTCCTCTGTGTGGGCACTGCTCCGCAGCCTCAGTTTACCCGAGTACTCGCCCACTCTGGGCGGTCATGTCGGGAAGATGGATACACGCACGTCTTTTGTAAACTCAGGGCCCTTGGCCCTCTGTGAAACGCCTGCCATGGTCCCCGAGACCTCACCCTCAGCAAGTGACTTGGGTCAAAATGCGCTGGGGAGTAGCCGACCGGGCCCTGAGGGAGTCACCCTGGCCTGCTGCCTGCTGCGCTGTGCATCCGCCGGAGGAGGGTTCCTTCTCCCACGCGTGAGGGCTGCTCAGGTCCCAGCTCTGTGCACGCCCCACGCGGCCCACTGTCGCCCACAACACCGCTGCATTAGCTTTGGACCTGGCTCAAGCCTCGCGGAGAGGCGCCAGAGCTCCCTGCACATGGGGCCGGCTGCGGACCTCACCTCCCACTCCCCGCCTTCTCACAAAGATCCCAGAAGGGCCAAACTCCCCATGGGCCCCGGGCCCCTCCTGCTGTGGTTGTCGGGGTGAGGGGAGAGCCTTAGCAGGCTCGGGAGCACAGCTCAACACCGAGGAGACCCCCGGGCACGCAGGGCCCGCCTGGTCTTGGGTGAGGCTTCCACTGCCAGATGCGGTGTCTCTGCCACAGGGCCTCCCTGTCAGCCCTGGCCTCGCTGGCCTGTAGGGGCTGCCATTCCCACGGTGACAGACACCGCTTTGCAGGACCTGCAGCTGGGCCCCGACCAAGACAGCAGCCGATCAGGGCAGGGCAGCTAACAGGAGCCGGACACTGAGGGCCAGGCCAGCCAGCCACGGGGGGTGTGTTGTTGCGTCAACACAGGCGGCCTCCTGGGTGTGAAGGGGGCTGCGGCAGGAGGAGGCTGCAGGGACTGTGTGGGGCAGAAGGGAGAATGGGCCGCTCCAGGCTCCGGCTCCAACAGAAGCCAAGCGGGGCCCTGCACCTTAGGGCCGCTCCTCATGCCCTGAGCCTCTGTTTTTCAGTTTCTTGCCAAGTCTGTGCATCTCAGTGTGCACACAGACACACAACACACACCTACCTGGATGGATGTGACAGGCACTCCTGCACATGCAGACCATAAGGGGCCCTGTGTGATGCACACAGGGTGCCCAGCGCTGCACCTGGCCCCATGCACTGTGTCTCTTCCTGGAATGGGGTTTGCAGCCCTCTCCGGGGCCAGGTGAGGATGGGGCAGGACACTGAGCTCCGCCTGACGCAGGGCTCAGAGGCAGGCGTTAGGGACTCCTCTGTCTCTCAGTGTCACGCATCTGGGAGCAGATGCTTCCTCTCCAGCTCAGCCCCTGCCCAGGCCTCTGCCCACCCCTGCCCCACGCCCACCTCTGACGAACAGGAAGGCGCTGTGGTCACTGACTCCGCCGCGGGACACGATCCTCAGGGTGTACAGCCCCTCGTCGTCCTTGTTCAGGTGGCTGAAGGACAGGGAGGCCTGGCCTTCCCCAAAGAACATCTTGGTCCACTTGGACTCCTGCAGCAGCACATCTGGAAGAGGTCAGAGTTCAAGGTCAGCCTCAGAGGTCACCTGAGAGTCAGAGAAACCCACATGGACCCTGGAGACCTTGACGCCTCGAGGAGGCAGGTGGCTGCTTAGGGCACAGCAGGGAAGGAGGCCTGGGAGCACAGCAGCAGGGGTGCGGCCCACAGGACTCCAGGGTGGAGCTCTGCTGGGGGATGACCGACAGAGCAGCAAGGGACCAGCAGAGGGCAGCGCATTCAGAAGAAGCGCACCCGTCCAGGAGTTTGCAGGAAAACACTCCACGCTGGGAACCAAGGAGGGCACAGGAGGAGTTGCTTCCCACACAGCTGGATCTCTCTCCCTCTCCCTCTCCCTCCCTCTCCCCCCCTCTCTCTCTCCCTCTCCCTCTGTCTCTCTCTCCCTCTGTCTCTGTCTCTCTCTCTGTCTCTCTCTCTCTCCCTCTGTCTGCCTCTCTCTGTCTCTCCCTCTCCCTCTCTCTCTCCCTCTCTCCCTCTCCCTCCCTCTCCCTCTCTCTCCCTCTCTTTCTCTGTCTGTCTCTGTCTCTGTCTCTCTCTCCCTCTCTCCCTCTCTCCCTCTCTCCCTCTCTCTGTCTCTGTCTCTCTCTGTCTTCCTCTCTCTCCCGCTCTCTGCCTCTCTCTCCCTCTCTCCCGCTCTGTCTGCCTCTCTCCCTCTCTCCCTCTCTGCCCCCTTCAAGAGCTCTAGGTGCCTGGGAAGCCCTTGGATTTGGCAAAGACAGAGAAGGAGCACAGGTCATTGTCAGCCCCTGTGGGGGGTAAGGGCCTCATCTACGGCTCGGAAATAAGGTACAGTTTAGACATGAGGACACAGGGCCATGAGTCTCCCAAGGTGGCGTGGGAGGTTCGCGACAAGCATTTCGCTCCAGAAATCCTTTATTGGAAAGGACATGACCCAAGGGGAGCACTCAGCGGGGTCCACAGATGGGACGCCACACCCGCAGTGATGACGATGACGCCAAAGAATGACTGTTGCCATGGAAACGTGTACAGGGAACACTGCTGAGAGCGAACAGGAGGTCTCCCCCAGAGCGTCGGTCCCCACTGGACTGTGCCGTGAAGCACGCAGGTTGTGCAACGCATCCTCTGGAGCTGGGTCACCGGGTGCCAGCGGAAGGTACGTCTCATGCCTGGGCCCTTCCTGTCTCTGGCTCTTTTACTCAGGATCCAGGTACCTTCCAAATCCCCACTTCGGAGCCAGAGCCTTTGGGGGAACAGCTGTCCTCCAAACTCTAAGAGGCAAGACTGGCATGGGTTTCTGAGCAGCTTGTGCCACTGTGCCAGGCTCTGAGCGGATACAGCAAAGGCCTGAGCACGGGTCAGCCCTCCGAGAGGGAGCCAGAGAGGAGGCAGAGATGGTGCCAGGCACCCTGCCTGCTGCAGGAGCCCAGAGCCGGCCAGAGGACAGGGCTGTAGCAAGCAGGGTGAGGCCGGCTCGGAACAGCCTGCAGGTCAGACCCCAGCGCTGCCCCTCCCGCTGCTCCTGGACCCCTGCAAATGGCCTGAGCCCTGACCCACGTGGAACCCTAGGAAAACCGAGGCCCACGCTGAAGCTTCGTGCAGCGCAACAGAAACCCTATCAAGCGTCAGCTGCTCTCGGTAGAAGGACGCAGGACCCCAGGCCTCTCCTGCACGGAACTGGAGACCCAGTCTTTGGCCCAGGGCCTCTGCGAGGGACCCCTGTGGATGCAGGCGCCTCCATGCCATCCTCTCAGGCTCCTCCTGGGTGGCATCCAAGGTCCCCAGCTCCAGTTCACTCAAGCAGCAGTAAGGGGAGGGCCCAACAAAACCAACGCTGGAAGGTCATTCCTGCCTGAGGGCCCTGACACCGCCTTGGGCAGCACCTGGGACATCGGGCCACTCACCGTCCCGGTACCACTCAGCCCGCGGCTGCACTCTCTTCAGGTCTGGCGTCACCAGCACGGTGCACTTGAGCGTGAGGGTCTCGCCTTCTCTCCTGAAGGTGACGCCGAATTTCTCCAGAAACTGCACGTCGAAGTGGGTGTAGGGGATGACGGCGGACAGGGGCACTGCGGGGGTCAGGCGGTCAGCACCCGGGGCCCGCGTGTCCTAGCCCTCACCTCGGGTGCCATGGGCCACCCGGGCGGGACCTCCACCTCCTCTCCGCCGATCCCCACACAGACCGGGCAGGGAGACCCGCACGCCTGCCTCTAGGGGCCGGCTGGGCGAGGACGCAGCGTGGACCCCGCCATGAGCGCTTTGTGTTCCACCTTGGCCAGCGTGGCTGGGGGAGGCCACGTCCACGGTGAGAGCACGGTGCTCTCCTCCTCAGAACAAACTGTGTTTCACACACCACAGGGGCCACTGAGCCCCGAGGAGACCAGGCTGCCCTCAGAACGCGGGGCGGGGAGGGGGAGTTGGAAGAAAAGCCACCCGACATTTGGGGATCGAATCAAAAACCTCCACTTACACACACACACACACACACAAGTGTGCACAGGGAGCGTGTAAGACACGGGCACGCGTCAGAGCAGGGCCGCCCAGCGGGAGGAGTGGGCAGACAGGGAGCGGCCCCATCTCGGGCCACTGTAGCTCTCAGAAGTGCCTGAACACGTGAACCCTGCACTTCAAGAGGGTCAGACTTGTGCTGCAGGAATCTGACTTTGCTTTTTAAAAGTAACTGAAGCAAAGTGCAAAACATCCACGTTTGTTAAAAATGGGTGGTGAAGACGTGAGCCTCTGCTGTGAGAAGGACCAGCAAGTGTGTCAGGAAGTGTGCCGTCACCACGGTAAATGGCCCAAGGTTCTACCTAGCTAAGATTATAGTGAGTAGAAGAGACCGGGAGTGGCCGGCACCCCTCCAAGCCCCTGGGCTCACAGGACAGCTCTGCGGTCCTCCACCTCTAGCAAGGACCCGGCCACCAGGACCCTCGGGCCTCGGGCGTCGCCCTGGATCTTGTGTCCAGGTGCTGCCCACCGTGTGACCAGGTCCTTGCAGAAGGGATCAGACATAAACCCCACCCAGAGCACCTGGCGACCTCCCGAAGGCATGACCCTCAGTGCCAAGCCCTCCCTTAGCAACACTTGCTCTGTGACAAGCAAGCCTTGCATTACCACAGAAGCAAAGCTTCTAAGGAGGAAGGACTCGAAGACACAGCCAGCCCTAAATCTCATCCCCAAGCCATAAACAAGCCCGAGCCAGTCCCAGGGAGCCCCTGAGGCCGGGGGTCTCCTAGTCCCTCCTTGGCTGGGGCAGAGACGCCTCAGGCACTGCAACAGTGGGGGGCGGGGACAAGGACAGAGAAGAGGAGGCAGCACCAGGACTCAGGCGGGAGGGAGACGACACCAGCAGGGCGCCGCTGCCTGGCTCGCTCTATAAGCAACAAGGGACTTTCCAGGGAGGGAGGGGTCCTCACGCACCAGACATGGCACCAAGTGGCATGGGCTAGAGTTCGGGTTCGTTCCTCTTTTCTGAGTTAGAAGGTGAGGTCTCCCCCAGGATGACCTCACCCTGTCTAAAATGCCACCTTGCTGCAGCATGGCATGGGACAAACGCTCCCCACACTGATGCTGGCCAGGGAAAACCCGGAGGAGGCTTCAGGTATAAGTGTGACCCTAGAAACTCGTATCTTTAGTTGTGTGCTGCGCCACTAAAGGCCTTCTGGATGAAGAACACCGAGGTGTACTCACGCCCGATCGGGAGTCCCACGGAGTGGAAAGGCTCCTCATCCCCGCGGAACCCTGCAGGACGTGGGCAAGGCGGCTGAGAGAGTGAGGCCTGCCCAGCTCCCTCCCGGCCACCCAGAGCCCTGCGCACTTTTCACCACCACCGCAGCGTTGGTCGACACCTGTCCGTGGACGTTTGTCGCCACCGCAGAGTACGTGGCCGAGTCATCGAAGTTTGCCCTTGGAGAGAAGGAGGGAGACCACGTCTGTGGCTGGCTGGGAACGGTGGCGACCTGATGCTAACAAAACGTTCCTGGACAGCGCGCGCGGCCTGACCTAGATGGCCAGAGCGTGAGTGGTGTGCTTGCAAACAATGCCAGCTGTGCTTGGAACAGCAGCGGCACACGGGGTATTAATTACAGGCTTGGTGAGCGTGGGATCCTAGGCCTCAGCAGGCTTGGCTTTGAGACAGGAAAGGTGTGAGCGCTTCCAGGGCGCCTGCACTCTGCCCCAAGGGGCTGCTGCATCCTGGTCCCACTTCTCTGCCTCCACAGAGATCGCAGGTCTCCTTGTGGCCTGGTGCCTGGTGACCGCCACCCCAGCCGTCATCCATGCCAGGAGCAGGGCATCACTGCACAGGGCCCCAGGCCCGTGGGCAGGCCAGCTCCCAGAGCCCTCTGTGCCACCGTGGCCTGGGAGCTGCGAGGGGGCCCTTTCCCGGCTGTCGTGTGCCCATCACAGCTGGCTGTGTCGGTGGCATCCCGGTCTGAGGCTGCTGGGATGGTCAGCCTGCCCAGGCCCCAGACGGGGACCAGAGCTCGAATGCACGCGAGCAGCAGGGCCCGAGGCGTGGCTGGGGACCCTGGAGCCTCCTGACTCTGGACACCTTCGTTAGCAAGCAGAGCCACCGCTGCCTCGCCAGGGCCCCACCTCGGCAGAGAGCGTGCCCGGGGCCGCACAAATCTTACCACCCGCTCCAGCCCTCCTAGGTAGCTTTGGTACAACGGTTTCCAAACCATGTTCCAGAGTTTTCAAACGTGTCTCTCAATATGCTGCAACCTTCTGCATTTTCACAATTTTTTAAACCACAGTAAAAGCCTGTACTCAAAGGCTCATAAACTAGTTGCACGTTGAAGCCCAGTAATACAGCTTCTGTGCAGCCTTGCATTTGTTTGTGCCTGGGCCTGGGGCATAGCTTCTGCCTCTTCTGCTCACTCAGCCAGTGACCTGAGGTTTCAGGCCAAGCTTGCCTCTGTTTGAATCAGATTCTCCCTGGCGCTGCTCAGCTGGGACAAAGCCCACGGGGCAGTGGGGGCAGAGGCGGTGAGGACCCAGGAGGCGCCTCAAGTCCCCATCTGTCTGTACGTCCACCAGGTCAGGCTGGTGCTCTCGTCTCCTGACTCTATAGTAACCACTCGCTCCTGCTCTAAACCCTGGGATGCCTGTGTTGAATACCTATGGATGCCAGGATGACTTTAATTAATTAAAGCAATGTATTTGAAAGCCTCTGATGACTTTATAGCAGGATATTAACTTTATATAGCATCCATTGAAATACGTGAGCTGAATTCCTGGACTGAGGAGTTGCTCCAGAGCAGCAGGGTCTCCAGGTTGAGGGCCTGCAGCTGCAGCTGACACTGCTCCAGAGCCCAGGGGCCACGCCAGTCACCATGGAGACCAGCCTGTCTGCACTGGCTGAGGACAGCCGGCAAGCAGCAGCCCAGGCCCCGAGATGGGGCAGAGCCACCTGATACATTAGCGGGGCTCAGCCTGTCGAGTAACCCAGTAGCACTGTGCATGCAGTCCGAGGCCGAGGGCAGACAGGAGGGTGGGTCCCACAGCCTCCCTCACCCACAAAACGACCGACACACTGGGCAGGGCAGTGGTCCCAGGGCAGGGGTGCATTCTGTTTCCTTTCTGTTTCGATTCTGTTTCCGTTCATCTCGGGTTTTTACCTTTCTCTTTGGTGAGAGATTTATGCTGTAAAAGCCTCATGTCCTGGGAGCCCAAAGAATGGTGCAGGACTGTGGGGAGCAGGTGCTCGAGCAACAGGCCTGGAGACCACTCCACGGGCCGCGCCCACCGGCTCCGACGCCACCATCACTGTGTCCTACGTGGCCCCTGGCCCCACGCTTTCCTACACCCAAGGGACCCAGGACCCTGCTCCCTGCAAGACCACATGAGAAAGCCCTGAGCAAACCCGGTCTAATCCCAGCCTTCTCGTCATGCTGCAGGAGCTTGCAAAGGGTTCGGTTTCCGCCTGGAACGCTTCCCCACTGGACAGCTCTCTTAGTTCCCCCTTTTGAAGGGTCCCAAAGGGATCCTTCCACCCTCTAAGGCTTCAGTGTGAAGTGGCCCCAACCCAATCCCCTCAAGGACAAACACTATTTCCTGTTTTAAAAATAGGCAGACAATGCAGCAAGATGATCCGTAGTTGAGGCTGGACTTAGAATTCAATGCAAATCAGAACCCAAACATCAAAGTCTAAAAATAAAGTATGGGAAAAGTTGAGTCCTTGGAGCATCCTGCCAGGATCGGCGAATGGCAGGGTTGCTAAGGGTGGTGCTCAAACAGGCCTATAAAAACCCGAGAGCAACGTTAAAATTCCTGAGGAAATGAGACCCACAGGACAAGTGCCCAGAGAAAATCCAACGAACGTACAAATTAGCAGCAATGATAAGTTTTGATTCAATACCCCCGAAGGCTGGGAGTGCTTTCTAGCACTTTAAGAATCTTCTTCAGGGGCCAAAGAATATTCATAGAAGCAAATGTCATCCCTGACAGAAGAGGCTCCCTGGGAGCCAGAGCCATGGAGGGGAAGGGCGGGCACACATTCCACACCCAACATGGCTCGGGTCAGATGGTGCAGAGCTCAGCACTTCAGAATGAACAGCTGAGGCGAGCTATCATCTGCAGACTCCCCACTGCTCTGTTCCAGAAGAACGCTAATATTTGAATTGCTAAAAATGTCCCAGTTGGAATAAGAAGGCTGGGAGATAAGAGGGTCTCAGGAATTGGCTCTTCCCAGGTTTCTCAAGTACTGGTGCATTCGTGCAGTGCCAGCCTGGCATGGTCTCTGGCGCTATTAATCAGCTTTGGTCATTGGCTCTGGTCAAAGCCCACATTATCCCCAACAGCAAGTCTGAGTGTCGCCAGCTGCAGGGTGACTGGGACTTCTCCTGCTTGAGAAAAGGAGACCATTTTCCGTTTAAAACACAGCCTGGGGCCAGAGATTTAGTTCAGTGGTTTCGCTGCCTGCTGCACAAGCGCAAGGACCAGAGTTTGATCCTCCGTACCAAAAAAAAAATTTTTTTTTAATTAAATAAATAAAATAGAACAGCCTGGAAGCAGGGGACTGCTGAGGAGACCCTAATCCCCACCAGCTGGGGCAGAGGAGACAGAAGCAGTTGTCCCCCTAGGCACCTGCTCCCCAGCAGCAGCACAGGCTCCACAGACAGCACCCTGGACCCACTGACACCCCTTAGAGCACTCAGAGCACAAGGCCACTGTCGGGCTGCGGCCCTGACCCTCTAGAGCCCCAGCCTGGGAACCTGGCTCCATCTGAGCCCTGAGCTCCACGGCAGAACAGACCTCCCCACTGCAAGGATCCTCCCACGATGGCCTCTGCCCTGAGTCTCCCCTCGGCCACAGAGACGCTTTTGTAGGAGAAGTGCATCTGCTGCTTGGCCTCTGAGGTCCTCTGCTGTCCCTGGGGTGCCTGGGGCACATCTGGGGCTCCCTCACCAAAGGCTCCCTCCCCACAGCTCCAGCCCAGCCCCCAGCCTTGCCCAGGTGACAGGCGACATGGACAGGGACGTGCTCCCGTGAAGGTCACCCTGCCCACGCACACCACGGCCCGTCCCAGGGCCCAGCTCCTCTCCCGCCTGGGCAGCATGTCTCTCCGACTCCCCCCCGCCCGGCGGGTCCAGAGCGAGCACTTCACCAGGAGGAGCAGACTTGAACCCGGGCCAGCCTCATCGCATGGCCCCAGCTGCCCTGCGGGGGCTGCAGACTCCAGGTGGGGAGAACCCTGTGCAGAGAGGGGACCCTGGCCAGGGACAGGGCCCACCGGCAGACGCCACCTGACAGCAGCAGGGCGAGTCTCAGGAAGGGTCAGCTGGAGCCGCAGCCGCCAAGTGGGAAGAGGAAAGGCCGGTTGGGGGGAGGAAGGAACCCTGCAGAATCCAGCTCCTCCCAGGAGGGAAAGCGCTGGAGGCCGTGGTCCTGAGCCAGCCCAGGGCTCCCAGGCGGAGAAGCACCAGGCTCTGACCACCGGCGCATCCTTGACCTCCCCAGGCCATGTCTGCTCATCTGGCTGCCCCCAGCAGGGACCCCTCTCCCTGTGCGCAGACCCCATGGAGCCTCTGAACCCCATCACTGCAGTACCCAGAGCTGAGCGGCTCCTCGGAGGCTCCACGCCTGCCCCACGCCCCTGGGCAAATGCTTCTCTCTCACACTGCAGGCGTGTGCCTGGGTGAGGACACAGCAGGGGTCCGGACATGTGCCTCGCCCGCGTACCTCGCCTGTGTGTCTGTGTCCATGTCAGTCTGTGTCTGTGTGTGTCTCTGAGTCCATCTCAGTCTGCGTGTGTGTTGTGTTGTGAGAGGAAAACAATCAATGCTGGACACACACCACTGCCCCGACCGGATGTGGCACGTGAGCAGTGTCAGTTTCTTGCTGCTGACCTGCCCCTCCCTGTAGTGGCTGTGTCTCGATGTCCCTCCAAAGCCTCATGCAGTCATAGGCAGGGCTTTTCAGAGGTGGCTGAATCTAGAGCATGTGACTGATTCGTGGTGCAATGCTAGGCCCAAGGGCACTAGAATTCAGGGTGTGAGTGCTGCCCGCCCTAAGCAGTCTGAACAAGACAAAGGAGCAGAAAGGCGCTGTTAAGGTCTCTAGTGGCTTTCGCTGTTTTCCACCGCCATGAACTGTGGCCCCTCTGTGCCCCTGCCTTGGAGCCAGCCGATCATGGACTGAGACCTCTACTAACTGTGAGCTGAATAGACCTTTCCCCTTTAACTTCGGGTGTCCAGTATTTTGTCTCAGCAACAAGAGGAAAGTAACAAAGTCCCACAGAGTCAGCCCCACAGGAAAGGGGGGTGCCGCTGTGTGGGCTGTGGACCCCCAAGTTGGCAGCCCGTCACCTGGCCACCAGGATGATCCTTACACTGCTGGCGCCCTCACTCAGGAGCCCACGTCCCACTGCCGACACGGGGGAGCCAGCAGCTCCCCTCCCTCGAATCAGCACACAGACATCATAAGGCCACTGGGGGAAAACTGCTGACGATTTTTGTTTGATATCTGGTTTCCTTCCACTCCGAATGTGAGTTATGGGACTTGGCCCTCACACACGTTCACGCACACACTCACACACATGTCCTCACCTGTTGATCTGCAGTGTGTGCACGCCGTACCTGCTTTCGATGAGGTACTTCCCGGGCTCACCTGCCTGGCAGATCAGGCTGCCATTCTTGTACCTGGCGAAGGAGAAAGTGGTCTAGACCAAAGGCAGCTTCCAGGTCCTAGTGGTAGCTCTGCCTCCTGCGCCCTCTGTCAGTATCTGCCTGCTGAGCACCTGCCGCCTACTCCTCCCACCAGGCGGGGACCAGAGCCTGCACAGGTTCCGGCTCCGTAGAGGCAGTGCAGGCCTCCAGTGCACCCCAGCAGCCCTTGGCCTCAGGGGACCCAGGGCAGGTTCTGCCTGACCCTGGCTGGAATCAGGGGCTGCTCCGTTTCGCTGAAAAGGCACAGTGTGCACTTGGGTCCCAGCAGGCCATCGGCATGGTGTCCCCACGGTGTGCCTGGAGGACTGGGAGTGGCAGGGGATGGACAGCACCCAGGTGCCTGCACCCATCTGCCTCTGACCGTGTGGACAGCACCAGGAGGCTCTGCGGAGGGCCCAGGCCCAAGGCTCGCATGATCACAGACACCTGACTCAGGGCGGAAGCTGACCAAGCAGGCTCCGGGGACCTGCAGAGCCACTTCCTGGACCACCCCAGCTTCCCCCATGATGGGAGCAGCCTCAGGGCCAGTGTAGCCTGAAGCAGGGCCATGGCGGGCACAGGCCATCTGGGAACTGACTGCTGCGTGGAGACTCGGCTGAGCAGTGTCACTTCACTTCAGATGCCAGCAGACTATTGAAAGGGACATTCTGTGAGTTCTGCATGTGTGTGTGTTTGAACCCATGGTCTTCACAATGAGCTACGTCCCACCTTCTGTGTTATTTTTTTATTTTGAGACAAGGTCTCACTAAGTCCCGAAGATGCACAAACTGGACTAGAACCTGCAGCCCCCTGCCTCAGCCTCCCAGAGTCCCAGGCATGGCGGCCCACGGAGCAGGTTCGGGGTCTGTGTCCCATCACTCCGTTGTGCCACTCACCACTGCACCACAGGGGTAGGAAAGCCCTGCACCGTGAAGCACAGTGTCACCGACATTCTCTCCCAGACTGTGTGCGACCTCAGCCGCACCAGGATCTCCGGGGCCCGCCTCATGCGCTCCTCGAAATCGTGCCACTCCCAGACCTTCTGAGCGTCCACCTGTGCCGCGCGCAAGCGAGAGGCGTGGTCAGGGTGCTGCCGCCTGCCTACCCAGGGACCCCGGCTCTGGCCCTCATCCCTACCGCCTGCTGCAGGGCGTATTTGTCCAGCATGCTGCGCGTGTGGGTCCGGGCCAGGCTCACGTCCTCCTCCAGCTGCGTCAGCTCACTGAGGAACCGCTGCCGCTTGGCCTCGCCGTAGGCCGCCTCCAGGGACCGGTACCTGGGGGCCAAGAGCTGCGTCAGGCTGGGGGGCGTGGCGCAGGGCTCCGGGGTCCACGCAGGTCCCCCGAGGTCCTGAGTAGGAGAAGACAGCAGGAGAAGGGCCTTTCCGCGTCCTCCCACCTGCTGGTGTCACAAGTGTGCTGCGACGTGTGTGCTGACATCACAGGAAGTTGGGACAAAGAGCCACGAGGCTCAGCGCTGGGCCATGGTGGGCGGTAACACACCAGCTGCCTTTGGCCATGAGAGGAGCTGCAGAGGTACTGGCCAGACCCAGGCCAGACCTCAGACTCGCCCCACACAGGGAGCAGCAGAGGGGAGGCCAGGCACGAGCGCAAAGCCAGGCAGCCCGCGTGTGCTCCTGGACCGCACTTTGCTCCCCGCACGCCCAGGGGACGCACATGCAGATGTTCCACAGAGACTGAGCAGTGGGGCCTTTGGGGTTTAAAATAAAGGGTTCAGCTGCCTCTAGGTGCTGCTGGGCTAGAGATGCCTTCAGGGCCGCTGTGATCAGTTGTGACAATTTAAGGAAAGGCACAGCATGGAAGAGCCACCGTCTCCTGGGGGCTGCAGCTTCTGAGTGAGTCTGAGAAGCAGATAAGAAGTATGACTGCATCCCAGAAAAGCAGAAAGCTAAAATAAAAGGCGATCTGCTAGGACAGAGCCAACGGCATGCTCTTCATGGCCATCACCATGAGCACCGTGATTGATCGCCCACATCAACTCCCGGGGCTGGGCCACTGGCCCACGCAGGGGGCTCCCAGAGCCAGACAGCCCGTGCCTCACAGGGTGCTACTGTTCTGCCTCCCTCCTGGGATCCCGTCCCACTAGTGGGAAGCTGTCCCTGTCACTTCCTTAGCAGAACTGCATCCTTCCTGTGAGGCTGTCCCAGCCCTGGCCCACTCTGAATCCCAACCTCCTTTTTTTCCCCCTGGCCGTTGCAATTTGGAAAGGAAGGGCGGCCCCTTCTCCTCTCTGTGCTCCGGGCCCTGTCCCACAGTAAGGCCCACCACGTGCGCCTGCTCTGCACTGGGACTGGGAGGTCCCTGGCGAGCCGCCGGCAGGCTGGGTGTGCGCTGTAGGCTGAGGAGAGGGAGCAGCAGGACACAGAGCCTGGGCACAGCGCCTGCACCTCCAGAGGCCGCCACCAGGTGCACCCACACTGCACAGCCAGAAGTCGGGGCCCAGGCAGGTCAGCGGTACCAACGCCCATCCTGCGGCCGGGGAGGTTCCATCCCAGGCCCTGGCCAGGCCCACCCCGCAGGCCGACCCCTGTGGGTCGGTGCTGGCCTCAGACACAGATAAAGCTAAGGAAGACGCAGGCATGGAGGAAGTTTGAGACCAGAATGAAGGATATGCTGCCCGTGCTTGGACAGAAGGGTGCCTGGAGGAACCAGAAACCTCAACCTGGACGGCAGCGCTCCCTCGGCCGCAGCCCTACCTGCACCTCCGGCCTCTGCCGCCGACCTGGACGCTCTCCTCAGGCCTGGCCCCCTGCACCTGCTGGGCGGCTCCCCAGCTCCGAGCCGGGGCCCTCAGGGCCACCGTGAGAGTCTCCCAGGTCCCCCGGGCTCTACACCAACGCTCCGCCCGTGGTCTCCTTCCGACTCCGTGTTCTCCCCACAGAGCAAAGCTACACTCGTGATTGGGTCCCCGGCGGCCCAGAGCAAACACCCCTTGCTTTCCCTTCATGGGGCACCAGGCATGCAGAACAAGGGGATGCTGGCCTGAAACCTACTGGCTGCAGTAGGCGGGGACAAAGGAGCCCTCACACCAGCAAACCGTCCAGCTTGAAGGCCAGAAGTCTCGTGGAATCCTGTGTGCAGAGCCTGGGCTCTTTCCCCAGCATCAGCACCACCACCCCTGACATCAGCCACTGGCCAGACCCCCACATATCAGCACATCAAGGATGTGTGTGGCTCTGCCCCTCTGCCACCAGCTGGCTGTGATGCTGGCCCTGTGTGGAATCTCAGGGCGCCCGGAGCACAGACTCTGAATGGGGAGCCCCGGCAGGCAGGCTGGGGGGGCGGCTCTCACTGGACCAAGGAGACGCAGCAGGGGACACAGTGACATCTGTTCAATGACTCTGATTGATGAGCCACCATTGCACATTTTGCAAGAGACCAGTTTGCCCAGGGTGTGAGCCAGTGTCTGCCATGGGCGTGTGAACAGGGAATGTGTGCTCATCCCAGCGTGGAGGGCAGGGGCTGCGGAGGCAGGCCGCATCTGCCCATCCCCACCCCCCTCTCAAGCAATGTGGGCGTACCATGGGGTCTCCTCACATGCACTCTCAGAGGAGGGAAGGAGCCTTCAAGACCTGCTGCATGGAAGACGCACACAGGGATGAGTGTAAGGGGCCCTGAGACCCCCAAGAGCCCAAGATCCCATGCAAGGGGGCATCACGGAGGCTGCATCCTGAGAACAGCTCAGGCCCAGGCCGATCAGCCACTGCAAGCCCTGGCGTTTCAGGGAGGTTTCCGATTCCCAGCACCCGGGGCTGTTGCAAGTCATTCCTGCCGCAACTGCGTGACGCACAGTCATGGCCACCCGGACCACTGGACAGACATCCACGTCCACGTCCTGCAGGGACCACCGAGCGCAGGAGTCTGTCCTGTGTCCAAGTCCCACAGTGCACAAGATGCACAGTTGGTGGAAACAAAATGACACAGCTGAAGTCCCCTACAGCCAGGCCCTAAAACTTAAATGCAAGGAGATCGCTTTTAAGCAACCCAATCCTTTAAAATCCAGATTGTTTTAGTCTCTGCATTTTGAAGTGATTAACAAAAGAAGTTTTCCATTCACAATAAAATGTATTTATATGGCAAATTTTTCCCAAGACATTTAAAAGATAACTCAAATTTGCTTTAAAGTAGGGTTAATCGTTTCAGGAAAAACTGTTTTAGCAAATGGATTACTCTGTCATAATGCAACTCTCAAAAGGAACTACATTTGCCCAAACTTCATTTTTTCCATCAGCTTTGACTTTTACACCTATAGAGAAAAATGTTCTAGGAGTAGTAGAGCAGTGGGGACTAGAGGAAGTATATATGTAGCTGTTCATTTTGTTCTTCAGAGGCCACAGCAGCACCACCAGCCGCTTCCATCACCTGGGAATAATTTTAGGGCTGACGCTTTTGCTAAGCCGCCTCTTTCCCGTGACACTTCGCCCTCGTGAGCTGACTCTGCTGAAACGGAAAATATGAGGGCTTCTAGAACCCTCCATGGCCACGCATTTTCCACAGGGGCCACTGGCCAGGCTGGCTCCCTCCTGGGAAGGTGACCTTGCGGGTCACACAGCCCCGGGCTGTTGCTCTGGGAGAAACGCAGCCGTCAAGCCCAGCGGTTGGTGCTGGAGTCCAGGTGTGGGAAGGGGAGCAGCTGCTAGTGGAGCTGTGGATCTAAGGTCAGTGCCGCCCGCCGGCCTGAGCCTGCAGCCTGGGCAGAAGGCATCCGTGGGGAACTCACCCGACTGAGGGACGGGCGGAGGCCCAGGTCCACAGCGGGCTGGCCTGCATCTCTGAGCCTGCCCAGCACCGGGCCCTGCCCTCCCCTCTGCTGTCTCCCAGCCCACGGAGGCCGATGCCGGGGCAGCACCAGGCAGCCCTGGTTACCTGTGCTCATCCTCTTGCTCCTCCTCCCGCGTGCTCACGCTCGTGGCCGCTGCTGAGGTCCGGCTGGCGGCCCTCTGTGCGGACGACTTCTGTGCGAGGTAGCTCTGGGTAGAGGACTGCATGGACGCTCGCCTGGACCAGTGAGGGGGGCATCAGCCATGCCAGGAAAGCCCTGGGGCCTGTCCGAATCGAACCACTCCCGTCCACACACCCCAACATCCCTACGTGCACACAGCACATGCACATCACAGACACACATATGGACAGACACGGGCACCCCCCCCGGGCACATGTTTCTGCCCATGTGAGCACATGTGCGTGCACACAAGCACGCAGCACAGGCATGCACACACATGGGCACATATACATGCGTGCTCTTGCACACTAACACACTTGTGCACACAAGGCAGACACACATGTGGACACACACACTCCCTGGCACACACAAGCCCAGGTCAGCGTTCCGGTGCATCCTCCCTCCTGGCCTGCACAAGGTCCTGTGGTCGAGATGCTCCCCTGGGCCCTGGCTGTCCCCACCCTCCACAGTCCCTGCCTGCACAGTTGTCCTGGCTCACAGCTGCAATTAAATATATCCTGAGGGACGGAACCTCCCTGCGCTGCTGGGAGGGGCCACAAGTGTTTGGCTGTGTTTGTTATAAGGATGACAACTACACAGGAGCGCCCCAAGTGCCTCTAAATATAGGGCGCCAGTGACATGTGGCAGGCACCTTCTGTGGAGCATGTGGGCCCAGGGGTCTATTCCTTCTCTCAGTCTCCCAACCAGCCCATGAAAGCCCCGGACGCCCTGGGCTTCAGCCCGAGGAGTCACCTGCTGCAGCAGCAGGGCACAAGCCCAGGGTCACACACCTGCCATCGGGTGGCAAAACCCCTCTTGGGCGGACTCCCCTTTGCCCTTGCTTTGCCCCCACCCCTTCCCCCTACCAACGTGTCCTGTCGCTCTCCTTCCCGCGGCCCTTTATGTTGGATGACTGTCTAGATCCTGCCGCCGGGAGACACGCAAGGAAGAGTAGAGCCAGCCAGCTCTACTGAGATGCCCTGGCTCAGGATCCAAAGAGGCCCACAGCCAGCCCCGCAGGACCCTCCCAATGTCGTGCAGAGCTAGGCTGGCCTCGAACCCCCAGAGGGATGGAGGAGTCCCTCTCCAGGACCGGGCCCGGGGAGTTCCCGCCTTCGAACACCAGACCCCATACCAGAACGCAAGGAGTCTAAACACGGTGTCAGCTTACTTCTTGGATGCATATTCATCCAGAAGGTACCGGGTTTGAACGTTGCGGTACGACTGGTCGAAGTGCTTGTGTCTCTTCTGGTAGAAGGGCATGGCCACCAGGGACATGTTGAGGGCTCTGGAGAACAGAGGGAAGCCAGATGAGGTCCCTCGTGGAAAACCAACTCCCAGGAACAAACCCACTGGAGGAGCTGGAGATGAAAGGGAGCACACAGGTGGGAGTCATCCTGGGTTAGGAGCAGGGAGCTTGCTAACGGCCCTGGGATGGGGCTGCACTGATGTTTACTTCTGTAAAAGCAATACAACCAGCCGGTATGTTTCATGTCACTGAGAACTAAATATTTATAGAATGCCAGGCATGGTGAGGGCCATGTGAAACCACTGTTACCAGGGAGGCTAAAAATAATGAAGACATAGATTAGAGAAGCAAACAAATGCTTGGAATACAAGATAATGTACGATAACAGCCAGAGGTGAGGGAGATGGAAAATGCACTGCAAATGAGAGGGCAGGGCAGCAGAGAGGCCAGGCAGCAGCTGACCCTGCAGAAGGCTGTGGTAGAGAGTGGGCAGGGTGGACAGGAGGTGCCCATGTGCAAGGGCAGGACCTCAGATTGCAGGGCCAGGTGTCAGGAAGCTGCTCTGGAAAGGCCACCACCACAGGAGGCTTCGGCGTCACCTGCAGAAGGCCTTGAGAAAGCCTTGGCCTTCCAGCACCTCCAGGTCTACTCTGCTGAGAAAATCATGGTGAGCCTGGTGGATGAGCAGGGGAGAAGACAGCAACTGAGCCAGCACCAAAGGCTCAGGGGTGTGGGGAAATGTTGGTGCTTGGGTGAAATTCTCCTGAAACAAGACATCGTGAGATCCGTCCTTCCCTCTGAGCTGAGGTTTGGAGGCATTAGGAGTGACTAGTTCTTGTACATGTTCACCCTGAATAAATAAAACCCCAGTGGACTGGATCACCTCCAGAAAGCCAAGCAGAGCTACATTCCTAGGTGTGTTACATTTTCACTGCTGTGACAAGGACCTGACATACACAATGTAAAGAAGGAAAGACCGTTTTCGGCTCATGGTTACAGAGGCTTCAGTCCATGGTCAGCTGTCTCCGAGGCCCAAATATCATGGTGGAAGGGTCTCACAGAGGAAGGCTGCTCACCTCATCATGCCCAAGAAGCAGAGCAGGGGAAGAGCCAGAGAGGAAGGGGCAGGGACCAGACACACCATCGCAAGGCACTGGTGACGCACCTCATCCAATTAGGCTTCACCTTCCAATAAGCCTGTTGAGCTCTGAACTCAAGGATTCATCTACTCAGTGAAGTCAGAGCCTCGTGATCCATTCACCGCCTCAAATCCCATCAGATGGAAGCCAAACCTTCAACACAGTGAGGATCCCAACCATGCCACTGGGTGTCTGCGATCATTAATTTCCAAGAAAAGCCTGAAAGAGCTCCCCCAAGCCTGAGCCCCACTCAGAGAGGAGGCTCCCAGGCCCTCTGAGAGGAGGCATCTCCACTCCCGCCGTCCCCGGGGCTCAGCCACTCGGGAGCACGTGAGAAAACCTGGACAGGGCACACCACGTGGTCAATTTCCTTCAGACTCTCACCTCCTAGAATCACAGGACAGCAGAGACCAGGGAGACCCTTAGCAACCACCAAAACTCTTCCTCACCAGGGGGAAGTAAAGGACAGGCACCAAGAGCCAAGAGCACGCAGGAGGGATCTCGCAGTCCTCAGACTTCTGCTGTTGGACAGAACTCATGAGTCTCAGTCTCCTGCTAAACATGAACTCCTCCTCCCACCACCTCCAGTGCAGAGGGCCCGGTGCACATTTGATGACAAGTTTGTCTGGAGACATGGCACCTAGTGGGACTCAGCAGAGCCCACCCCATGAGCCACTCAGCCTGCCGTGTTTGAAGAAGACCAAGGCCCAGCACCCTGGTTCACATCTGAGGGGCCTGGGATCCAATGTGCCCCAGGCACCACAGAGTGACCTTGGTCCAGCTCTGAAACACTTGGTCAAATCTGCAAGGCCCGCACTGGGCTCAGCACAGTACACACTGGCTGTCTCGATCACACTGTCATCCTCACATCATTCTGCAGCTAGGAGAAGGTATCTGTTTGTCAGAAAGACATCCCCTGTGCTTGGATAGGCAGAACTGATGCTCTCAAAATGTTCACACTTCCAAAACCGATTAAAGATTCAAAGCAATCCCAATCCAACACTAACAGCATTCCTCACGAATCCAGAGAAAACAATCCTAAAATTCCTACAGAACCAGAAGAATCAAAGCAACCCCAGGCAATAAGAGCAAAGCAGAAGGCATCGCAATCCTGGATTTGAAGTTATACTACAAAACTACAGTGATAAAGACAGCATGGAACCGGCACAAAGAAAGACACATGGGTCAGTGAAACACAAGGGAGGATGCAGAAAAAACCCCAGGCACATTCAGCCTTCTGACCTTTGACAAAGGAGCCAAAAATATACCTGGAGGAAAGGCAGCCTCTAACAAATGGTGGTGGGAGAACTGGATATCCACATGGGGAAGACTGAACCTGGGCCCATCTCTCTCTCCATCCACTAAATCAAACTCACAATGGATCAAAGATCTCGATGTTAACACAGAAACACTTAACCTGCTGGAAGATAAAGGCACAGGCACGGGCAAAGACTTTCTGAACAGAACCTAATTGCCCAAGAAATAACATCACGGAGCAACAACTGTGATCATAAAAATTAATAGCTTCTGCACAGCAAAAGAAACAACCAACAGAGCAAAGAGACAGCCTACAAAAGGGGAAACATTTTTCACAGCTATGCCTGAACAGAGGACTAACATCTAGAATATATAAATAATTTCAAAAATTAGACCTCCCCCAATAAAAGACCCAATCAAAAAATGTGCAACTGAAATGAACAGACACTTCTCAGAAGAAGTTCAAATGCTCAATAAATACATGAAAAATGCTCATTATCGCTGGCCATCAGAGAATACAAATTAAAACTACACTGAGACTCCATCTTACTCCAGAAAAAAACGGCCACAGTCAAGAAATCCAATGATCCAGTGTGGACAAGACTGTGGGGGAAAAGGGGTTCTTCCACATTATTGGTGGCAACATAAACTAGAACAACCACTATGGACATCAATATGGAGAGTCTTCAAAAACTAAGAGTAGAGATTATATTCGACATACTTATTCCCCTTCTAAGAATCTTCCTGAAAGAGTTCAAGTCATCGTGGAACAGTGATGTGCGAGACCCTTGTTTATAGCAGCATAACTCACAATAGCTAAATCCTGGACATGACCTACAGGTCCCTCAGCAGATGACTGGATACAGAAAATGTGCCATCTACACACAATGCAGCACCACTCTTCCCTTAAGAAAGATAAACTTGAGTCATCTGTAGGAAAATGGGTGCACCTTGAGACCTTAACGTTAAGGGAAATGCACCAGACACACAAGCTTAAAAATTGCATGGTTTCCCTTATGTAAGAAATGCAAAATATAAATAAAGAACAAAATGAAAGGTGGGCAATAGGAAGTAGGAAGACAGATACTTTCCAGATGGGAAGCGGGTCAAGAGATGGAAGGAGCAGGAGGGAAAGGGGAAGGAAAAAGAACTCAGCTGTGCTAGGCACATGCACCAAGTCCCCACCAGGAATGCACTCTTCACATAATGCAAACACATGCTAACAAAACTTGAAAATAAATAAAAATCCACGCATCACCCTCATGCCTGAACCCTTCCCAACTGCGTCCCAGCAGGGTCCTCCCGGAGCCCCTTGGGGCTCTGTGCCTGCTGTCTGGCCATCCCCACGTGCTGGGGACAGAGGCAGAGGACACCAGGGTGCACTCCCGCCCAGGCCGCAGTGTCCCAAGACCTCACACTGAGCCGCGTGGACAGGTGAACCACACCGCACCAGGTGTGTGTGCCCCGTGTGTTCCCCTGTACATTCATGTGGCTCCACCTGCACGTGGCTCAGGCACAGGGGAGCCCTTGCTCAGAATGCAAACAGCTCAGATGTGCAGCCCCATGGCCGGCTCCCCCTGGCCAGCTCTCCCTGGCCAGCTGCGATCCCCCGCCACTGCTCCTCATAAGTGGCTCTAGGAATGTCAGGGGCTCAGCCTGACCTTCTGTGGGCTGGGAGACTTCGGGCCCTTCTCAGGGAGGAGCATGGGCCTTGCCTCGACCAGCGAGGTGTGCGGTCACTTGTGCACGTTTCCCGCACCCCTCACCCTGACACTGTAGAGCAGGGTGACAGTGCACTTCACATATCTGATGCACAGTGCCCTCTGCTCCTTGAATAAAACACACGCCGGCCAGCAGAGCAGGAGCTATGGGGATGTCCCCGGGCAGTTGCCCCTCAGTGGGCCCCGTGCTGCAGCCCACCATCACCTGGAGCACTGGCCATGGACCCCACACCTGCCCGGGAGCCAGTGGGGGTCGGGGGTGCATCCTAGAGCTCTGGCCACACATTGGACACATGTCCTCGGTGTCCTCGGCTCCCCCGCCTCACAGAACCTGCACCGGAGTCTGGTCCAACCAGCCGTGTGTCCCCTGAGCATGCTCTGCCACACGGCCTGCTCCCCCCCCACCAGGAGGGGCTTTCCTTGACCTTCTGGAACCTTCTGGAAGCACACCCCTCTGCCCACAGCCCATGGAAGGCGAATCACTGCAGGACGTGTCACCCGGGGCCTCCTGGGTGTCCCTCTACCTAGAGAGTTCCTTTCCTTTGTAAGAAATCTCAGGTGTGCTAGCCCCCCACATGGGCACCCCAAGACACAAGGAACAGCCTCTCCGCAAAGGGCAGGCTTTGATGGAGCCCCTGGGTGCAAGGCTGTGCAGAGGTGTGGACCCCGGAACCCAGAGACCCAGGCCCCCACCATGCCAGGGCCTCTGCCTGCTCCGCTGTTTTCCTCCGAGGAGAGCGGAGTGCAGCTGCCCCTAGCCCCGACAGCCCAGAGGCACGCACCCTACCTGGGACCTCTGAGCCCCCGCAGAGCAGGCACCAGCGGGTTCTGTGGCCACCACCATGTCCCCAGCTCTGGGGCTGCGGCCAGGGCTCCTGACACATCCGGAATCCTGACACCGCCCTGAAACTCTGGCCTCCCCCCGCACAGGGGCCTCGTCTGCCACGTCCTCACCCTGAGCCCCTCCTCAGCCAACCCCAGGGACTCCGCCTTCAGGTCCCCAAGCACGTCTGTCACTTGCTGAGGGTTCAAGCTCCAAGCACTTACAAGTTACTTCCCTTCATGGAAGAAAGAGCTGCATTCACAACCCGAATGTCCCAGTGGACAGACACTAGCTCAGCACAGGAGCCACGGGGAGAGAGGGCACTCTGGCCTGGAAGCTTGGCGCACAGGGACTGCTCCACCCAGAGGTTTTTCCAAAGGACTTTTCACCCAAGCAACCAGTAAGCCCCAAACTACCAACAGGCACAGAAGGAGCCTCAAGGCTGTCACGAACAGCTCCGTGCCTAATTCCAGCAGCTAGGCGCCCAGTGTCCAGTGACCTTGGAGAGCCGTGAGGTGCATGACTGGGGCCCAGTCCTGCTCCCGGGACCCTGGCTCGCTCCTCTCTGATGCCGGGAGGAGTGCAGCCAGCAGGGGATGGGGCCGCACAGCCCCTGCCTGAGAGTGTCCAGCAGCCAGAGAGCCATGCCCGGCCTAAGTGGAGAACTGAACCAGCAGCTGCCAGAAGTCCCTAAATGGCCTGGAATGGTTCCTGCGCCATCTCCTTGTTTGCATAAAGAACAGGGGTGCAGGTGAGGCCCAGATTCCTTGCAGTCTGTTGCAAACCCCTGCAAACGTGGCATCCTAACCTTCTTCGGAGTGCCTGGGATCTTACCCCGCTCTTTGCCAGTTGTGTCCTGATGTTTCCACACTTGGAATGCCAATGAGCTCAGTGGGCTGCAGCAGCTCTGGAGGGGAGAGGGGGACACGTGGCCATGGCTGGGACCCAGCGCCTGAGCCCGGCGCCCCTGAGGTGGGATTCATGTCAGGTCCCCAATGTCACCTTTAAAGTCTGCCCACCCCAGTGGCTCTTCCTCCGTGAGGAAGGAACATGAAGGAGGAAGGAAGACAGAGTGGCTCCTCAACTCAGGGTGCAACACGACATGGAAACTCCTGTCCCTCCCAGAAGTACTGCTGCTTTCCAACCCTGAGGTCTAAGCTCACTGACCCTTCTTGATCAATCCCCAGGAAAATGGCCTACTTTCTGTTTCATACCTTTCCAGTTTTCCCTCCGCTCACTTCATCTCTTTTCTGAGAACCTGGTGACAGCCACAGGAATCAGCCAGCTCACCCAGGCTAGTGGCACAGGGCCGCATGGCACAGGGAAGACAGATGTCTCAGAAGGGAGGCGGGGACAGTACGGCCTTGAAGACTAAGACTGGGGAAGCAGAGAATACACCCAGGGAGCTGCAACCTGCCCAAGAAGATGCAGACTCGGGAGGAACAGGGTGCTGCTGGTATCCCTCGCCTGAGCAAGGTCTGTGTGGGAAACCCAGGGTCCCCGGCATCTGCACCCAAAGTCCCTGCCCAGAGCAACGCACACAGCAGGCCTGAGCACGGACACTCACCGGAGGGAGCAGAGGGCAGAGGAGAGCACTCACTGGCCCACGGGTCACGGAGCTCAGACCCTGGCCAAGGCTGCAGAGCTGATCCCTCCGGGCTGAGCACCTGCTGCCCCCATTTATGGCCAAGAGAGGCTAAATTTAGGATGAGGGCCGGCCTCTCCCAGCTGACATCTGGCCCATAAATCACCACGCTCTCCAGAGCAGAATGCCAGGTGAGAAGGGGGAAACAGAGTCAGAATGAGCAAAGTGTCCTTCCAAGTCCTGCCTTGCCCGTCCCCGGGACCAGGACCCTTGAGCTGTGGCAGCCACTGACCGTCCACCCGCAGTCTCCTCCACCAGCCCCGCCTCAGACCCCAGTTCTCAGCTCCAGCTCCAGTCTGTCCTCACTGCAGCTCCCTGGCAGGAGACTGATGTCAGGACGTGAGGCTCTCAGGTCCCTGGGCGCTGTGCGTTGGGCACTGACTGCCAGCCGGGCACCTCCAGCTGTGGGTCCTGGGCCAAAGAAGCTGGGGCAGCCCTGCAGGTTCCGAGTGTGTGTGTGTGTGTGTGTGTGTGTGTGTGCGCGTGTATGTGCGCTCAGAAGCCACTCGGTTGGCACTGGATTTTACCTTGGGCTGGCTTAGCTGGAGCAGAGCTGCCTACTCGCCAGGCTGGGCTTATTTATAGTCCTTACAGCAGGCAGGCGCAGTCTGGACACACAGAGCATGGAGCCCGCAGGTGGCCCTCGCTCTGCACAGCGTGTGTGTCCACATGCGAACAATGCACATGTGGCCGGCCTGTGCCGAGAGGAGGGGGCTCGTGGGAGCGGCGGCCCTAACCTGAGAGCCGCATCCACACTGCAGCCTGTGCACCTCAGCCCCACCAAGGAAACGTGTGCAGCAGCAGGGCAGAGCTGCCTTGCATGGCTCTGATGGAAAGCAGAGAAAACGGTACACGGGAAGTGAGCGCCAGGAGCCTCGGAAACCCCATGCTCCCACGCCTGCTGCCCGGTGAAGGGCCTCCCAGCAGACTGAACAGACCGAGGCAGGACCGGACGCAGGCCCAGGACGGCGGTCCTTCCAAGGGTGCTGTCATCCTGACCCAGCTGCAGGTCTCCTCTAGGCCTCTCCTCTGTCCGCATGCAGGGTGCCACGCGCTGCCTGCAGGCCCAGCCTGTCTTCCTGTCCCAGCCCCAGCACCGGGTGTCGGTTCTCACACCTGCAGCCTCACACACACCCGTGGGGTCCGTGGCCCGCGGCTGCCCTCCCACCAGACCACAGCCCAGTGGCTGACACACAGCATACACGTGCTTCTCGGCTCTGGGCTGAAGGCAGGAGCCCAGCGGACCCAGTGTCTTCCTGTGGTAGGAGGGGCTCTCAGGGCCCTGTGCTAAGCACACTGAGCCATCTTTGACTTTGTCGCCTCCCAGAGCCCCCAGTAAGGTGACATTTCCACCCGTGAACGTGGGGATCCACGTCGAGAGCAGAATGAGGCGCTCTGCCATGGATCAGCATCCTTTCCGGGGAGCCAGCGTCCTCTTCCTGGGGGACAATCGGGCATTCACTCTGTGTGGACAGACAATTCCAACACCCGCCACCTGCCCGCTGGGGGACCTCAGGAACGGGCAGTCTCTGTGCCCTCATCTCTGAAACGGGGGAAGGAAGGCGGACACGAGCAGGTGCGGCTGCTGTGACAGGGCGAGAGCCCCCGGCTGGGCCCTGGTCTACTCGGCCTCCACACTGGTGACAGCCTCAGGGTCTGTGGGGCACAGCACTGACAGCAGCACTAACCAGGCCCCTCTGTCACACCTTCCCAAAGCGCCAGCCCTTCCTGCAGAGGCTGGACAGGGGCTTCTCGCCAGGAGTCTGTCCCGACCCAACCGGCACACGGGATGCAGCCTCCAAGTGCTGGCTCCGGAGGCAGAGCACACAGGCCGCCGGGCACCTGGACTCTGCATCACGAATGGCTCCCGTCGGGGGCTCGGCTCGGGATCCAGATGTTGTGAATCAAAACCCTCCCAGAAGCCGTCAGCATCAGCAGGTGTGGCTGTGCGCCTGACGCTGTGCTGCCCAGGGCAGGGTGCAGAGGGGCAGGGCCGGCTGGTGGCCGAGGGCCCGTGAGGAAGGCAAATGGGAACTTCGGGACTTGCGTGCTTTGTCCAGGCCGCCGCGCATCGCATCGCCGGGCCTAGAAAGGACTGGGGGCCTCGGGGTCCGGAGTGTGAGCAGCCCTCCTCAGTGGAGTGGGAGCTGCCGCCCGGCCGGGTGGTGGCGCCACACAGCCTGCCCGCGTCCCGCAGTTGCCCACCGGCGCCTCGGAGCAGGCTCTGCGAAACTCGGTGAGCTCCCGTCCCGTCCCGTCCCTTACCCTGCGGCTCTGACAGGCTGCTGCTCCGGCCCCTCCGCCTGCTCGGAGCTCATCTCACCAGGCCATCAGAGTCGCCCACGGCAGGCAGAGGCCGGATCTTCCCCGCAGCCCCAGCTGGTGGTCAGGCCCTGGCCCCGGGCCGGGCTCCTGTTTGCTAATCTGCTGCGGGAACAGCAGGACTGCGGAGAATCCTCCGGCAGCCCTGGGTCTCGGCTCCGGAAGGTAAAGTGAGAGCCGGCTTAGAGGCCCTAGTCTGAGCCCAACAGGCTGTGCGCTACCCACGGGGTGCAGGAGGCCAGGGACAGAGCCTGGCCACGCAGGGACAGTGACCAGACAGGTGAGCCGACCCAGGGCGCTCAGGCTGGAGGACGAATCCGGCGGCACCTGTGTTCCCGACTCCACCCACACTGTTGCCTTGATGGCCCTGTGGGAAGAGCGGAGCCCGGGACGGCGGGGCATCCGCCTCCCGCCAGCCTGGGAGGGGGAGACCTGGAGGGGTGGGAGGGGCCGGGAGGGGCCGGGAGGGGCCAGGACCTCTCCACCCTCCCCTGTCTCTCTCTCCTCTGTCTCTCTCTGTCTCCCCGCGCGCGCTCTAGCTTCTCTCTCCACAGGCCGCTGCTTTCTCCGGCTGTCTGATCAGCAGCTGCGTGCGCGCCCGCGTCCACTCTTTTCCCACCGCCTCTGGTTTTCACCCAGGAGCGGCCTGGGCCGGAAGTTGGCCCCAGCCTTCAGCTCCGGTCAGTGAGGGTTCCGCTGTGTCCACCAGGGGGCGCGCACGCGGCCACCTCCCCTCACCCTTCAGGGAAGGAATTTGGAAACTGTATGGAAGAAGGAAACATAAAGGCCAAATTATACCCTGCGCTTCCGGAAGAAGTTCTGTGCGTGCTGCCTTGGCTCCAGCTGGGTTTAAAGTCGGCTCCTGGAAGCATCGATGCTCCCACAGGAAACGGCGAGGGCCCGAGGGCTGCGTGCAGTGTCTGGTCCCCGCGGTCCCTGCGCGTGTAAAATGCCCCTGTGCCAGTAGAGAACGGCTCAGGTTGAGCAGCGGCAAGGCCGGCCATCTGTAACCGCTCACACCGAGACACGTGTTCAGTCCGAGCACCCACACACGCTCACGGTGCTCAGAGCTGTCTGTCCCGCTGACTGGACACGCAGCCCAGTGCAGACGCTGGGGGAAAGTGACGTTTCAGATGACACTGCAGTGACTGGAGGCCTTGGAGCAGCGCGCACGCCCCCGTGACGGGTGCGGCCTCGCTGAGCCCCTCAGGGGAGGCAGAACGGAGGGCCTGGTGTGGAGGAGGCTCGGGGCACGGTTACCATCGCGGGAGCCTGCCTTCCCGCGCGCTCTCCCTCGGCCACGCCAGGTGCTGGGCGCTGTTTCTGGGCGCAGCCCTGACTGACTTCTCCCACCGGTGCACACGTGGGTGGGGGCGGATCAGCTGCTCTGTGACAGCCCCGCTTGCTTACAGGGCACAATACGAATCCATGGCTAGAAACGGCAAGGAGGCGTCTGCGTGCCCCTGGACACCCTTGGGGCCAGCCACAGCTCAGGACAACCCTGAGTGCACAAGAGGGCCTGGCCCCTCGCGCTGACCGCAGCGGCCAGGGGAGGCTGTGCCACCAGCTGACTGGGAAGGAGAGGCAAGCAGCGTGCAGCCAGCACAGCAGCCAGGGATGCGACCCCTGCCCCGGGAGCCTGCGTGTGTAAAGCTGTGAAGGCAAGACTAGCAGATCCCTGGCAGAAACTCGGTGCACAAAACCCAACCCATCGCCTGCCCCCTCCAGAGGCGCCTGCTGTCCACGGGCCCAGACTGTCTTACTGCAACGCGGCTGCTCATCCCTCGGCCCGCTGTGGGTGCCCAGGATTTGGATTAAAAGCAGCTCACGTTCCTCAGGAAGACAGCGTGCCCGAGGCTGGGGCTGGACTGGCCAGGCCACTGTCACGTGGAACGGACCCCGGGGGCCCATGGCTGGGGCTGCTTCTGGCCCAGCCTGACAATCAGCGTCCCCGGCCTCAGAGGTATCTGTGACAGACGTCACACATGGCTTCAGGCCCCACACTACCCTGCCTAGGACACCGCTGACAGTGAGCTTCGACTGTGCACAGGATGGGAGGGGCATCCTGCTTCAGCCTCCATAGCCTGACAGCCAGACTCTGGCATGGCTGAGGGCCGCCTCAAGGCAGTGAAAGGGGAATTTTGCCTCCATGGCTCAAGCTGGACTTACTATGGGAAATTCCCTATGTGAAAATATTTCTTTGTTCAACATGTCCAAGCCAACTTCCACATCTCAGCAACGTCTTTGTCTCTAAAGCAGTTTTGTCCTCCTGCCCAGATGCAAATGAGGTACTAACCCCCATATTTTGAATTACCCAATGAACCTGCTGCCAGTATTATATGTGAGCCAATGCCAGGTTAGATTCTGCCTGTTAATGCATAACCAAATTCTGTAACCAGTGAATGTACAGAAGAGTACCTCGCTTGCAACGCCCCTCCCAAAGGGTGTACCTAATTTGTTGAAGCTTTGGATGGGGCCAGGCTCCCACGTGTGAAGGCAGGCTGTCTGGCCGACGTAAATAAGCTTTACTTTGTCTCCGAGGCTCCTGGTGTGCCTTCCATCCTCTTGGACTAGTAGCAAGGAACCACATTATCAACGAAACAGCAACCTTGCCGTTTCAGCAGCAAACTCCCTCCAAATTCGTTTCTACACCAAGGAAGTTTTAGCAGCAGAGCAGCAGAGCAGGGACACGTGTATGTGTCCATATGTGTACAGGTGTGTACACATGCATATGTGTGCGTGTATTGGAATACATGGACATATGAGCTCATATTTGGAAATCACACATGGCATTTCTTAGAGGTAAGTGCTCTAAACCATTAGAAAGTGCTGAGTGAATGCGGTATTAACTGCAGAAATATATATAAACACCAGGTGCCAGAAGAGAGGGAAGTCTGGGCTACTGATTTTTCCCGTCTTCAGAGTTTCAGTTCAGCGCATGGCTGGCCACACCCCTGCATCGCGCCCCAGAAGGCCTGCAGCCCTCTCCCTGCGATCCACATCCCCAGGGGCTCCTGTCGCTCCCTTGCTTACTGGAGCGCTCGCGGAACCACCACCAGGGGCGCAGATCCGGTGCGGATGCGTCCTTGCTGCACAGGAAGCGCGCTGGCTGGGAAAACAGCCTTTCCCAGAAGCAAAATTCTGGGCTGAAATAAGTGGCCCACACCGGTCAGAGCTGCCCAAGACAAGTGCTGCATGCCTCTTTGTGTCTGGGGAACCCTAACCAGCGCACGCAAAGCCAAGGGCATTTATAAATCCACTCATCTCCAGAGCAGGTCTCAAGGGTCTGAGGAGAATGTGGCCCTGGCGACAACCGGGAACAACCAACCCTGCAGGTGGGGGACGCCCGCCCAGGGCCCGCAGCACCCGGCTCTGAGCTCCAGGGCTGGACCCAGAGAGGCTGGCGGCGTCCTCAGGAAGCCTTGGCTTCCAGCACAGCGTCTGTGTCCAGGGCTGAGACGCGCGGGGTGGGGACAGGCTGGCGGCCAGGGCGACGGAGGCAGCGGTGCGCTGCAGAACAGTCTTCCCGAGACAGCAGAGGCCGCGGCTCCCGGGCGCCGACCTCTCGGGGGCCGGCCTCCACTCTGCACTGTGACCCGAGACGGGCGCGGGCTCCCCACTGCCCGACCTGCCGGCCACGGACAGCAAGCGTGGGCACAGGCCGGGTCCCGGCTGCTCCTCGGCTGTGCCAAGCTTTGCAGCTCTCCAACTAGCGAGCGCTTACTGCAGGCAGGGAAGCTGCAGTGAGGCCACAGTGCTCAGAGCCCTCTGGGAGCACCTCATGCGCCCGCGTCCCCGCTGCAGGCGCGATGTTGTGACCGAGTCTGCACTCTCTGCAGCTCTCTCCGCAAGCTCCCTCCCCTCCAGTCCTGGAAGTGCAGTGCCCCAGAATCACCAGCAGGGGGCAGCGCTGCACACCGCGCAGCCCGACAGCCGCCGGGATTCTCAAAGCTCCGGACCTGAAGTTGCGCCAGGCTGAGTGGCGCCTGCCGGAGACCTAGCGCTCGTCCTGGCCCAGGACTGCACGGCGAGGAGCTGGGCTGCGGTGCGCTCAGAGTGGTGACCGCAACAAGAGGAAGCAGACAAAACCCTGGTCCCTCCGGGCACGGAGCCCGGCAGGCCCTGCGCCTGCATCTCCGACCAGCGAGGGCCCTTGCCCAGGCGGCGGGGTGCGGGGCCGGGGCTTGGTGACAGGACGTGTGCTGGACGGGGACCCCCAGGCCAGAACTCGCAGGTCCCCTTGTGAGGGGCGGTGTGGGTCCCAGGGGTGCTCTCAGCCCCACCCGCTGGGTGACCTGC